AGATCCGGACATAGCACCACATCCGCACTCCTTAAAGTGACTAGCGATGTGAGGACAGGTCTGGAGGATACTAGGATCACTGTGCTGGTGTTGGTTGACTTCTCTAATGCCTTCAACATGGTCAGTCACGATATCCTTCTAGCTATCCTGTCTCATCTTATGGTCTCCGACGATACTCTACTTTGGTTCTCTTCTTATCTTCAGGGGCGACAGCAGAAGGTTCAGGTCGATGATGCTTCATCAGGCTGGTGTACTCTGGATGCTGGCGTCCCTCAAGGCGGTATACTCTCTCCTCTCTTGTTTTCACTCTTCATCAATCTCCTTAGTACTGAGTTTCAATGTGCGTATCATCTGTACGCTGATGACTTGCAATTGTACTGTCAAGCCAGCAAGGAAAATTTAGCGGATGCAATTGATAGGCTTAATGTGGATCTTGAGGCCATCAAAAATTGGTCCGATAGGTTTGGGATAGCCGTTAACCCAAACAAATGCCAGGCGATACTCATCGGCGGCTCACGGATGCTGTCCAAAATCAATAAACGTATCCTTCCCCCTGTACTATTTGACGGTGCTGTCATTCCTTACAGCGACGATGTGAAAGATCTCGGTCTGCACATCGATAGCACCCTCAGTTGGCGGGCGCAGGTCACTAACGTATGCAAAAAAGTCACGGGGTCGTTACGGTCTCTGTATCGCCTCAAAAATGTTCTCCCGTCCTACGTGAAGGCGATGCTTGTGCAGTCATTGATATTCCCCATTATTGACTATGGTGATGTTTGTTACTACGACCTGAATGCAGATCTACTCAATAAGCTTGACCGACTTTTAAATAACTGCATTCGATTCGTTTTCAACCTGCGTAAATATGATCATGTTTCTGCACATCGGCTGCAATTAAAGTGGTTGCCCATACGCCAGCGCAGGGAGCAAAGGGCTCTAACCACTTTGTACTCCTTTCTTGACTCCCCCTTTTCTCCTAGCTATCTATCCACCTACTTTCAATACACTAGTGCAAACCACAATAAATATCTTCGATCTTCCAACAATCGTCATCTTCAATGTCTTAGTCATCGCTCTGATTTTCTTCATTCTTCATATTTCATACAATCAGTGATTCTATGGAATGCGCTACCCACGGAGATTAGGATGGCCACCAGTCGCTTATCCTTCAAAACCAAGGTTCGCGAGCATTTACAAAAAAAACTGGCAGATTCGATTCAAACATAAGTTGTCTCTTATCATGTTATTTAGTTTTTACCTGGGTACGTATGTAAGTGTGTATGTATTTATGTATGTATGTGTGTATGTATGTATATAGTACTATTATATGATATAAGTATTGGATGTATGTGTACATGTATATGTATGACTATATTATTATATAAAAGTATCTATAAACTGTATATAACATTTGCTTAGTCACCTGCCACTTTCATCTCTGCACCACCTTAAGGTCGACTGCGAGACAATGCCCAAGGCATTAAATCCGCCTGTACATTTGTTATTGTACTAAGTCTTAAATAAATAAATAAATAATAACAATTTTTTTATACAATGTGACATTACTTACAAAGATAGTAAAAGTTGCTTTTAAGTGTAAGCAAAGTAAGAATTACACAAATCAGACAAATACTAACCTTTTAAAATAAAAGTAGACGTTTCTCGGTATTTTCCCTCGCACTAAATCCATTTCAGTCTGCGCTGGAGTATCATACGCCACTGTGACGTCATACACAGAAGTCAAGCCTGACTCTCGTAACCGGGAACATAATGCTATCCAACCAGTTGTTCGAGGATGTAAAACATATTCGTAACGCTGTAAAAAATATAATAAAATGTAACTATGTAACTTATGAGTAGGTACTTCTTAAAGGGAGAAGGTGGCGCCACCAATGCTCATCCGTTACCTCTAAAGAGTTACAACTGTTTTTATCGTCAAACAACATATATTCTAACATACCAGAATCTTAAACCCCTAGTAAAAATGTAATAGCAACTAGAACAAAACATACAAAAGCAACTACCACCCCACTTTTCATTTTCCTTAAAATTAAATAACAATTCAAACACACCTAAGGTTCTATTTGTTTCTATCAATCTAATTTTACTTGACTTGGAGATCTCATGCTAATTGTTATACTAAGGATATTCGCGCCACTAGAGGCGCTAGTGCAGCTTATGGTCAATCAATCAATAGAATATTTATTTAGTTGGTAAATTTCTGATAGCTAGGGTGATTGGACTAAAAGGACCATAAACTAGTATAACGTCAGTGGTGTTAAATAAGAAAATGTAAACTTTTTGAAACAAATTCAATTAGCTAAGTCCAATTGAATCATAACAGCTAAAGAAGGCTAACAGGTCAACTAACTGCATATTAGAAGCTATATTATGTATAATCTAGTAGTTATTGCAATTCTAACTCTTTATAAACAGTTATAAAACACAGATCAGTTTGTAGCTAATGATAGATACTGATATAATTTGCAATGTCCTACTTTTCTTTTCCTGCAGCCGTCCTCAAAGTTGTCATTAGATACTAGTAAATTACACTGATAAAGTAATGTGCAATTATTATGCATCAAAATGAATATTACTGTATATCTGCGTCGTATGGAATAGAACTAAAGGATTTGGTTTAAACTCGATAAGATTTGAAATCATCAGATCTGATTAACGCAAATTCTGCAGTATTACATTAAGAAAGGCCACTTTTATGGTACAGGAGATAATAAAAACATTGAACAAATAAATTAACCCGGCGAGCATGATCCAGGGTATCTCATACCCTGTTAAAATTTAAAAGTGCTGTACATTTTAAAATCCTCGTCTGGCGACACTAGATCGGCTAGTAGCTGAAGGTAGGGGCGAGCGGGACCGGGTAGTGGCGTGATTGCAGTGTGGCGCGAGGCATCGGCGAAGTTATACGTGCACAAACTTGTCTCGGGTATGTTTCACCCTGCCTCATTTTTGACATATTTATTTTACGTAACGATTTATGAATGAATTTTAACTGTTTAATTAGTTTTTTTTTTTCAATTAATTTCAGATTTTGTTGCTTTTTGTTTGTTGTTTTTAGATTTTTGTTATTTCTTTATTATTTTACTATATGAATTTGTTATTCGTTCATTTATTGAACATTTCCTTTATTTTATTTTTTTAGTTTTTGACTAAAATGGATATTGAAAGTCAAGAGGAACAGATTCGTGCTATGTTGGAAGAGGCAGCAACAACTGATTCTTCTGGAGAATCCAGTTCAGAACAAGACTCTGATCATTGTAGTGAACATGAAGTGAATTCTGATACGGAGCAAGAAGGTGATGATCAACAAGCTTGCAGCTCGGTGAACCCTCACCTAGACCTACAATTGCACCCAGACGATATGTCAGATGCCCGGATTATCCATATTAGAAGGACAAAAAAACTAAACATTCCTGCAATGCGTGTGGCAAGCCCATATTTATGTTTGGAACATGCAAAATATATTTGCGAAAATTGTGCTGATCTCAACAGTGCTAATTAATCCTATTTCAATAAAAAAAATACTTTATTAGTTTTTTACGAGGTGGATCTCATTATCTTTTAGTTTTAAGTTGATTTCCATTCCAAAGAATAATAATTTTGTTGAATTCTTAATTTTTGTAAAACCTTATTACTTTGTTCCTAAAATTACATCGTATAAAATAAATATGAATAAATAAAACATTATTATTTAAAAAGAACTTCTTTCGTTTAACTCCATTAAATAATTCATTATTTTACAAAATAAAATCAACAAAATAAAAATTATAATAAAAATAACTATATTACGGTACATTAAGATAAGGGTATGTCACACCCTGCCACATTCTTGAAGTAACTTTTTTTCGCCTCATGCTCGCCGGGTTAAAGGCAGACAGAAGATACACTTAGAAATCAATATTATTATACAAATAAATAACGATAGTGATACTAATGGGTAAAGCCAACAATGGATTGTAAATAATCGTAAAAATAGGAACGCTAACCACTAAGTATACCTAACTGTCACCTAACTGTAAGCATAAATAATGACCATAAAGCATCACAATACATATGCAACACATAAGTACACAATAACTCATTTCATTTTTAATTAAAAATCCAAAATCGTGTTACGGGTTTAATTACGTCAAGAACAGCAGTTTTTACAAAATACCATTGTTTCAATTATTGTTAATTTATGAATTAAAAACCACTAACGAGTTACTAAACTGAAAGACTAAATAGCAGCCATAATTAAAAATGACGAATAAAAAAAAAGTAATAGAAATAGATAGTCCCACGCATTCAATTTGAATCGCAAATTATTTTGAACTACTGACGAAACTGTTGAATAAAACAAATATAGCGAATCAAGCGTTAAACCTTGACAAAGACAGTGGCGATCCAGCGAACCGGAAAGATGATCTTCATTGAGACCGAGGTTCACTAGTTACAGCAGCTTTAGTAGTCATGGTCAACATAAACGGACAGATAGAGGCAAAATTTGAATACCTGCATATTTATCACTGCGACGCCGGTTCTCCTCACTCAAATCCATTCCTTCTGAGAATAAAACTAGCCTTTTTATGACGGTGAAAAACCGACAAATGACTCCCGCCTGGAGTAGGCGGGTGGATCAACTCTTACTGACTAAAAACTGTCGACTCCTGCCCATGTTAGGCCCCGGTACCTACAATGCCGCTCTACACGAAACCCTGGCAGTAGTAGTGGTTAACATAATGGTGAAAGTCATGGACAAATGGAGATAAAATTTGAATACCTGCATGTTGCCTGTGCATATTTATAACTGTGATACTGGTTCTCCTTATCAAATCTGTTCCTTCAGGAAAGAAAACTAGCCTTTTTTGGGTGGATGGAAAATCATCGATTACCTTCTCCCGCTTTGACTGAGGCAGACAGAAGTGACAGACTCTTACTACTGACTAAAATCGATCCCATTCTAACTTCTGCTCCATATCTACTGTCTATTGGTGACTCTAGCTGCAGTAGTGTTGGTCAATACAAATATACAGATAGAGATAAAAGAATACCTGCATGTGTTAGCCTGTGCATATTTATCACTACGACGACGATTCTCCTCACTTAAGTCCGTTCCTTCAGGGAATAGTACTAGTCTGTAGTCATAATTCAGCTTCTGGTAGTAATCCACAAACTGTGAAAGGTTTAGTTGATCCTCGCGCCAATTTCTCTTTACGTAGAGGAAAAGTTTAACTGCATAATCCAACCTGCAAGGTTTAAAATATCAAGGTACTTTAGAGACTTTTTATTACAGGAAAGAGTGTCGTCAAGTGTTTAACAGAATTATTTCCCGACAAAACACACCATTATACTCTATAAGAAACAATATTTCAATATCAATAGAATTTATGATGGACTTACCCATGCCAGGAATATTTTTGATTTCATCCTTCAAAACAAATTTTATTTTCGATTTGCCTCCGAATCCTGTATGCTATTAGATTCACTGAGATTTTGGTCAGTTCGTTTACAAGAGCACAATTCACCTGAAGGATTTTGCGTTGCATGATACAAAGCTATCCAAACATAGTTCCAATCAACTCTTGTGCGATGATTCATTACAATTATGGTCTTTTCGTCCGGTTTCACAAAATCACCAAAGTGATGCAATTGAGTATCACAACAACATTGAAACAGCGCCTGGAAGTATACACATCACAAATTAAAACATTCAGTCACTACGAGTATGTCAATTAATAATTCATAGGCGATCATCTTACCACAGGATACAATTCCCATAAAGAAAATAGTGATCAACTAACTTTCTGTATAATTTGTGACTAAAAAACATTAGGTACATAACAGGACAATAGAGAATGAAGAATCCTGAAATCAAAGTAGATGTAAATCGATACTGGACATTTTAAACATCAATTAATACAACCAGGCTTAAAGTGAAACGTACCGGCAAGAATGGTGTAATACCAAGCAATGCAGAGCAATAAGCCCACCGCCATGGTGCTACGACCCGTCGGCTTGCACTGGCGTGCCCAAGAAGCCATGTCGATGCCGATGTCAGCATTGTTAGATTAGAACCCCTACGTAGGCCACTAAGCCTTATTACATGACACCCTGCCGTAGGTGGTTGTCTACATTATCAAATTCTCTACGCCATTCTATTTATCTAGGTTATATGATGTTTATATCGTATTTTTGTTTCAATTCAAACTTCGCTTTCTTCGATATCAAGATCATTGTCTAGTCTTGGAACTTCCATGTTGTTTCCTACAGCCTCTGCTTCATCTATTGTCATCAACAGTTCACAATCTTTTGTTTCAGGTAAAAATAGTAAACAAAGTAATGCCGATATCATTGGAAAAATACCAAATGCAACTGGCGAACACCATTTTCCATAGGGTCTTAAGTTAGCAGCAAAGGGTGCGATCATAGCTCCTACTCGAGCCATCATGGAACATATACCAATAGCCGCATTACGAACTACCGTGGGAAACATTTCGGAACCATACAAATAAATCACAATGAAGATAATGTAACACTGCATTTCTCCTAAGCATCCGACAACCAAAGACACTTTGCCTTCCGGAACAAAACCTATTGCAAGTAAACACAAACTGCATATAACGTTTCCCAAGATCACAACAGTTTTGCGTTTGGAAAAGTTGATTAGAGGTATGCTAATAATAGTTGCACAGGTACAAACGCCTCCGGAGGCCAAGACATTTATAAATATATCGCCTGTCAGGTGACTGATGTAAAAAGAAACTCCATAGAAGCAGTAGCTGCAATGAGCCAGATAAACGACATTACAGTAATGTTTCTTCTCAGGTTTGGAGTACGGAACAGGTCTAAAGCAGTACTTTGCGGTTTCGAAGTTCTGTGCTCTAATTGATAAAATTCCATTTTCCTTCTTATGTGTTCCGTAGGCAATTTATTACTGAAAATGTCATTTCAATTAAAAATCATATAAAATTAGATTACCTATCGATGAAATTAATTTGAAAGTAGTAAATAAATAAAACTTACATTTTTGCGACCTTTTCCATTAATAAAATGGCTTCTTCTGTTTTATTAACAACTAATAACCATCTTGGGCTTTCTGGTATTAAACAAATGTAAAACAATAATATGACGTTTGAGACTGATATGAAGAGTAGAAAATACGAGTAATCTCTTATCAGGTATCCAATTCCCGCCACTACCATGTTGCCAATCGTGAACGGTATGTGAATCAATATGGACACTATATCTCTTTTGCCGCTACCAACATATTCCATCACGATCACGAATGCTATGATTATACAACCACCATTAGCAATACCAACCACCCATCTGGCGAAGGAAAAGCTCCAAAAATCTGGTAAAAATGATGACATGATGCCGGCAAATATTTCTATTATTATCGATGCTATCAAAGTTGGTCTTCTCCCATAACTGTAAAAGGATGATACCAATGTCACGTGTGAACCTAGATATAAACTAGGTATAGGGCTAACAATACTTACATGTCAGAGGTAATTCCAAATAACAGACTTCCGCAAAATACGCCAAATTGAAAAATTGTTTGAGTTAAATCTTTGAACCAATCACTTTCGCATATCAAGTTCCATTCAGTAATTATAGTTCTTTTGAATACAGTCGTATTGAACACGGGATCGTTACAACATGTATTGTTTGTTCCTGGACAGTAGTGCTCAACTGGAGCCGTTAGAAATATGATTGCCAATTGGTGGAACGACACATTGAATCTGCTCAAAAACACAATAAAACATAGCCAGAAATGATATCTCCCGAAGTCTCCTATTAATTCATTGATGTAAACCATTATGCTCGTCTATTTGACACTGTATTAAAATTGATTTCTAAATATCTCATAATTATATACGAAATTAAAATTGTTTGATAAAAATCACTATTTTACAATGTCGCTCATTGTTAAGTATGTAAAACAGGTAGGCCTTGCTCAAGGTTAGTTTTCAAAGAGTAAACAAGATCATATAGACTTTTACAATACTTTAACGAAGTTGAACGAACACATTTTATGACTAACCTATTATCCGCCTATAACTTCACCTGCTTGGAATTTAAAAGACTCGAACATGTCCTCATCGTTCCTGAATATTAGGATTAAACGTAGTAACATTTTCTTATCGGTCCTGCAATTTTGGAACCTATTCAATGCCAGTAAACAATTAATTATTCCTCTAATAGTAAGTACTCTTAGTTATAGTTAGTATATATGAAGTATACGATGAAATTATATATTTAGAAACCAGACTCATTGAAGAGTCTCCTTATTTATCCTGTAGGTGGTAACAGAAGTAGGTACGTACTTAGCAGGTCTAAACGTAGTGTATGTGTCATTACATAGTTAAACAAAGGTCGCTCGGTACTTCGTGCAGAAGAGAGATAATGTTATGTTATTTTCTAAAATTATGATAGAAACTAAATGTTCCATTATTTCATTGGGCGGAAATAAGATAAATAATGACCCGTATTTTATCTCTGCATGCAATGCCAACGAAGATCTCTTTGCCATTGTAATGAACAAGTATTTTTTCACGTTATTCTTCACACAATACTTTCATATATTATTATAATCGATTGGCTTTCCTTTTCTATTCCCGGCCAAGGACGTTGAAAAAAAGCGGACGTAATGCACCAAAATGTCAGTATTTATGTTTGCGTATACTTGCCACACAGTAATATATGAAGTGTAATGACGGGCCATGTCATGCGACCGATGTTCTTTGTGTGAATGTGTGTGTATTCTGATAGTAGCCAGGTGGCACAATTGTTGTTTAAAGAGACTCGTTGTCGAAATACTCAAAGGCTTCTCAATTTTAAAACGCGCTTGAGTATAGTTCTGTCACTACAAATTTTTTGGAGAATGACAGAGATGGCACGATATTTAAGTAGCCTTTCAGTATTCAATTATACATATGTTCGCCTTTTTTCCAACGTCCTTGTTCCCTTCCATATTATTTAAGTTTAACACTTTTGTCTTGTCAAAAACCTCTTTAGTATTATTTATTGCTATCTTCTGACAAACTGTGATGGACATTAAAATCACGGTGATCATTTTCATTAATCAGACTTACATGTTACTTTGGAGTTATCGGAATAAGTTCAAATCGTCATTCGATATCTCCTTATCACATCATATGTAAATTATTATCAACAGCGAATAATAAGCCCGATTTTCCTACAGAATCGAGATCTGCGGATAAAACTGCAATAAGTCAGAATGAAGCCCGTATGACATTTCTAAAGCCACCTGTGAGCGAAATCTACTTATTGTAAATTTTTCCCGTTACTTATTGATAAATAAATGGAGAATATTTAGATAATATTTATTTTCCGTGACGTGTTCAGTAACCTAGTCTCACATTCAAGGTTATTGCCATCATACGACGTGTCACAATCATCCGCATTTTCTACCCTCACTTATCTTAATACATACAAATAATAAAATAAAACTATTTACTTTTCCTCCTACCTATATAGAAGTGACTTCAGTATTGTTATCTATATTTAAAACTGTCGTGAAATACGGACTTGTGTCGATAAATGGGTAGGTAGTATATTTCCTACGAATGGATTAAACGTTTTGACAACAAACATGTAATATGTACCTCAACCGAAATGTCTGTTATTTTTACCTATTAACATCTCCTGCCTACATATGTACATACGTCATTTTTATCTCGATTACCACTCACCATTTTGATGGAGCCGTACGTTACCTGTCAAGATTAACAGATTTCAAGATTGTTCTCAGTATCTTTTAGTTTGACTACGAAAAGATATCATTATACTTTAATCTTATCTTGTACCTATACACACTTGTCATATAAATCCAAACACGGGACTGATGTACAAACAATAATGAATTAAATACATTTAAGTACTGCAATTAAACTAAGTAATTCTGTTTATCAGTGTCGTCGTAAGTAAATGAATGCCGAAAATGTGTTCTCAGCCTTATCGCTGGGTAAAAAGAATGTGGTTTACTTGCAGCCATGCATAATTGGTCTATATAGCATTACACCAACCGGTATTATAACGTTTACAATACTTAAATGTTAGAGACTAAAAATGACAATATATTTATCTTCTTTTGCCGCATAAGTTGGTGTAACATATAACTTAAATCGACACTTCATAAGTAGTTCATAAACAGGGAAATAATCTAGAACGTAGATAAATAAATAAATAAATAATAAACTCGTTGTGATGTACCAATATATCTTTTAAACGATAGGACTAACATTATGGTCAAACTACAAATGTGTTCATGAGTCCATATGGCCAATGTACACGTGTCTATTGAAAAATATCAACAAACCAATCAGTCGCAATTATCATCATAATAAGTCCGTTTCTGGCACCTACCTACTGGACATAGGCCTCTTAATGCCATACCAACATAGTAGGGTACATACAATTACTTTTGGTAGAAACATAGGCAATAAAAACAAATATTTTATAATAACAAATAACTTATATTTTTCATTAGATTCGCGGTGACTTCATTTAAAAAGAATGAATAATAATTGTATAAATTATATTGGAATATCGTATCACAGTGTAGGTACTAAGTACCAGAGAAAATATTAAACAGCAGCAGCTTGCTCTGGTAACAAATAATAATGATTCTTGGTAAAATTTACGTCACCGATATTATGATCACATAAACAAAATATATGGGAAAGTTAATATTTTCCATAGGATTTTCTCCACGGAAATAAAGAAATTCCTTTGTTGTGTGATTTGCCCGATATTAACCTATAGTTTATTATACTCAATCTTCTATTCATAAATCGTGAGAACATCATGAAAACCTCTGCAGCCATTATGGATATTTATTAGAATATTTACAATTAAATAGAAAGTTCTTTATAACATTTTCTACCACATGTATAAAAATAGTGTGTTGACAGAAAATGTAATTTCAATAGTTCTGATATCCTTATTTTACAGGACCCATTCTATAAATAACAAAGTATTACTTATAAGAATATTACTCACTGTTTTTATACATACTGTCAGTCACCGACTGTTTATTTCCAATTATATTTACAAAATTGTTTACTTATAAACTACACACGCATTAACTATTTACATAAAATACTTTACTCTATTTGTTCTTATTGTACATTTAAGTCTATTGTTTTAGAGGCTTCGTTTTTTTCCCAAACGCTTCACCCTCTTCTATAGTAGTTGTCAGTTCACAACCTTTAGTCTCTGGTAGACAAATAGTTATAAAGGCTGCTAACAGTGGCAGAATAGCAAACGCCACTGGGGGCATCCACAGCGCTGTATCTCTCATTCCTATCACAAAAGGTGCTACCATAGAACCAATCCGAGCTGCCATCGAGGAGAAACCAAGAGCAGCATTTCTAACAACAGTTGGAAACATCTCGGTACAATATAGATATACAACCAAAAATACAATAAAACTGGCAACTACCCCTATACTGGCACTAATTACTGAGCCCACTCCTTCTGGTATCACTGCCAATATCAATAAACAGACTGCACAAATAATGTGGAATGTAATTACGATCGTTTTTCTCCCCATAACTTTCATCAAAGGTATGGCTAAGAACGTGCCGAGTAAAGTGACACTTGCACTGCACGCTACGTTTATGAAAACGTTGCCACTTAGCTGACCCACATACTGTGAAACACCATAGAAACAGTAACTGCAGGCCAACCAGTTAAATGCCATGGCTATAATGTTCTTTCTAAGATTCGGAGTTCTGAAGAGATCCAAAAAGTTTCCTTTCCTCAGTTGGTGTTTCTCTAAAGATGCCTGGTATGCCTCGATATCTGCTCTGATATTATCCGTAGGGCGATTGTTTCTGAAAAAAAAAGTAACACAAATAGATTTAATTTTATCGTGGAAACCAGGGTAATTATTGCTAGAAGTAAGCAAACTTACACTTTAGCAACTCGTTCCAATACTTCAATAGCTTCGTCTGTACGTTTCACTGCTATCAGCCATCTTGGCGTTTCCGGTATGAGGAAGAAATATGATAGCAGAATTACTACCGGTGCAGAAATTGATAATTGAAAATCAGAATAATCTCTGAAGAAATATGCGAAAAGTGGCAATGACATATGGCCCAAATTAAATGGCACTTGGTAAAGAGCTGAGATGAGATCTCTGTACTGTGTGCCCACGAACTCCATAACGATGACGAATCCAGTAACCATGGTGCCTCCCACTGACATCCCGATGACAAATCGTAAAAAGGTGAATGACCAGTAGTCTGGAACAAACGCAGCCCCCACACCACACGCTATTTGCATCACTACAGCTACTAGAAGAGGACATTTTCTTCCAAACCTAGAAAGCAAAAATATAACATTAGTCATGGCTCTTAAAACCCCGGTATCATAACCAGCGTTTACTACAAAACTATAGGAGAATGATGTACCTGTCTGACGCCATACCAAAGAAAACACTGCCCAATAATGTTCCTAATTGAAATATTGTCTGCGTAAAGCTGGTGAGCCATTTTCTATCACAGATCAAATCCCATTCTGTTATGATAGTACTCGAGAATATTGAAGTGTCGTAGACTGGGTCAGGACACGGGCATGTATTATTAAGTTCTGAACCGCCACAGCTATATGACACCTTTGGTGACAAAAACAAAATGGCCATTTGGTGGAAAGCCACTGGGAACTTCGTTAAGAATATCAAGAGACATAGCCAAAGATGATATTTTCCGAACGATCCAATGACCTTCTGAATCAAATCTTGTTGTATTGTGGGCTTCGCTGAAATAAGGAAAAAAATAACTTTTAGGTGAATGTCAACATTTAACTTAAGACATAGTAACGTACATTCCTTTGTGTACGTAATGTTTATGTAAGATTGTTAAGTAGGTATGACCCTGACGACTACTAATAACAACCCTACCACTGAAATTAATACCGAGCGTGAGACATTTTTTTTATTTAAAATATTATGAAAAACCGCATCTTTGAACAATTGTTCGCACTTGAAAAGTTTGATTGGCATTCCTTAATCCTAGCCACAACATGTCTACCACAGAGTGACTCGGCTAGTCACTATAGTCGTCATATAATATGATTATGATAAAGATACACCTTCAGGATAAATCGAGATTAAGTGAATACTTGACGTCGTTAAAATTGATAAAATGGAGAAGGAGCAGAATTTACAAATACAAGTCGTTTTTAATTTTTCGCAACTTGCTATCTGTCTGGTGATAGAATTATTTCTTATGCTTAAATGCTTTCACACAGAGTACAATGACCGCACCGAAACACAACAAATGCAGGTCTTACATATGTATGTAGGTCTTATTTTATCTTTTACACAATAATATATCATGTTTTGCGCAGGACTTGTGCAAGACATGTATCAGTCCTTGATAGTGTCAGGCGACATTATAGGTACAGTGGCCAGTAAATCAACCTACCCCAATCTGTAAAATTTATTCATTGGATTTCGACTTTATATCAATACTATTTTAGAGAAATTTAACAGAATACGATTTTTTTTTTAAGGGGGGAAAGTCATTGAATGACTGCTCCCGCCTGGGTGAGGCGGAAGGGCGTGTCAGACTCTTACTGACAAAAAACCACCCCGTTCTACTGCACGTCAAGCCAGAGCCCCGGTTACCCGTTAGGTTCTCCGCGACAACAGAACAGGATAGGTTGACCTGCAAGCTACTATCAATCGAGCTCCACTTTCTACAAGTTATAGTGGTTTTTTTATAATTGGTTATTGTTAGCCAAAACCAGATCATTTAACAGGTTCTGTTATCTAGCTTTACGTCACACTTGGTCATGGGTAGGTACCTAATTGTAAATAAGAACCAAATAAAACAAAACTTGAAAAGAGATAGGAAGGAAAACAACATTTTTTTTTTTTGGACTACAAGAGGAAGAAGGATCTAATAAAACATATAGAAATATAATAAATAAATAGTAACTAAACAATATAATAAAATCCCTATTCACGTGCACCATCTTATAGACTCTATCTCATTTAAATCAAAGTTCAGCTTGCACTATAAATAAAATACTGCATAGTTATCTTAATAATATAATCTTACTAGCTACTTCCGCGCGGTTTCACTCGCTCTGCTCGGCGCCTATTAATCGTAGCGTGATATGTTATAGCATATAGCCTTTCTCGATAAATGGGCTATCCAACACAGAAATAATTTTTCAAATCGGACCAGTAGTTTCGGAGCTTAGCGCGTTCAAACAAACAAATAAAAACACAAACTCTTCACCTTTATAATATTAGTATAGATTTAAGTTTACATGTGCACAATGTACGAAGAAAATTCAAGAAATCCTCTCTAAATGCCGCTAATAAATAAAGTTCTAGTTCGCAGTCCTTTACAGTTGTTGTCTACAGGACTTAGCAGGTTGCCGGGGCTCCGGCTCGAAGTGCAGGAGTAGGAACGGGGTGGTTTTTAGTCAGTAAGAGTCTGACTCCTCCCTCCCGCCTCACCTGGGCAGGAGAAGCATTGGATGATTTTCGTACCTCAAAAAAAAGTACTAAACCATTTAGTATAATTTATTGGTTAACTAGCGCAAACTAGTTATACCCGTATCTTTGTCCATATTATCGGAAAAATCTTGTATTATAAATTATGTTAGACTAGGTCATGGTCAATTCGTACGCAAAATATCAAATAAATCCGCGTTCAACAGAATTTATTTGCTTAAGTAACTAGATACCTATTGAACATTAAATATCTTAGTAGGAAGTTAAGTTTCTAAATCTTAATCTTAAGTAAAATAGGAAATAATGAGGTTTGCAGTTAATATGGGAAATGTAAAATATAAAAACAACTTTTGTTCAAAAAAATAGTAGGCAGAAGAAGCACATTACTCACACTTTATCAGTTATATTGTACATTATAGATACGAACTCCGGATCTTCGTATAGACGGTCGGTCTATCCCGGTTCAAAGTAGTGGTAGATTCTTGGGAGTTGTACTTATCTATAAGAGTCATAATATTATCATCTTAATCGAAACTGTATGTTGTATTGAATTGTAAAGTTCGATTATCTGTTGTCGAACCCGGAATTGGACCCGAGATCTTTTATTTTCAACGAACAAGGAAGATTGTCGAAATCAAATAATAAATTAGAGTGCGTATAAATAGAAGATAAGGTAAAAATAAGTGGAGCTTACCTAACAAATCATTGTGTTTCCGCTACTCAATCATGTATATTTACATGCATATTGTTTTTCTTAGAGGTACATTCAAGATGATTTTTTTTTTACGGGCGGAAAATCATCGAATGTGGCGAGGCGGGAGGGAGTGTCACAGACTCTTACTGACTAAAAACCACCCCGTTCCTTCTCCTGCACGTCGAGCCGGAGCCCCGGTTACCCGTTAGGTTCTCCGCGACACATTCAAGATGATATATGAAATTAAATTACATACATACACATAGTATGCATATTATCGGATCACGTTTTTTATCTCCGAAGGGTTAGGCAAAAGTGCACATTACGGCACTTAATGCCACTGTACAATGTAACTGTACATTTAAATTAAATTAATGCCAAATAATAACTACTTTCCAGAAAACATGATGTTGTAAATACTATTAGGTACAATTTATTATTTATCGTATTTGTTTATCGTTCGGACAGTTCCTACTCTTTGACCCAGTGTTTATAAGGACATTATACTTATTACAAACTGGTGTAATCAGACTGTGACAAGTTGTTCGAAATTACACAAGAAATCGAATTTAAAATCATTTGCCACGAACATCATCTCGGTCTAAACAAGGTCGGGAGACTCACTATTATTGATCAGATGATTAATAATATTATTATTTTTAACCTAGGCAATATAGTTATTAAAAAAGTTAACTACTGTAATTTATTGCCAATTGTACTTATTTATGATCTATCAAAGAACAAGTCGGATAAAGATGTTTGCAACAATTCGTAAAACTGTGGCGCAATTGTAATACAGAACTAATAAAGATTTATAGAACCTAGAATATGTCTTTAAAAAAGTTTTATGACCTCCACTAGGACCTTCTGTGTGTTGGGTACGTTTTCAGATACATAATTTGACATTTAGTATAGAAAGGTGAAAGAATTTTTAAAATCGGTCCCATTGTTTTTGAGCCTATTCATTACAAAAAAACAGTTTTTTCCACTTTATAATATTAGTGTAGATGTATGTATGTACTATCTTCTGCCAGCGGGTTTGCCGCTGGATAAAAAAGAGGCCTGTGTGTTTTACCAGACCACAATCTACTCGTGTTTCAAATTTCACCTCGATCTCTTCAGCCTTTCTGACTTGAACAAACACACACATACATTATCACAATCTTTCGCATTTAGATATAATATTAGTAGAGCAGGATGTATAAGTAGGATGTATATCACGCCCAGACCGTATACAAGAATTTGTTGACAACACAAAAAATTGTGTGGTAATTGAACCATTGACTATAAAAATTTTATTAACACCGTACTTAATGAAAATTAAAATGAGTTGGTGGTATTTTACTTTGATGAACATTATATTACATGGCAAATGGTCTATTGTTAGATACGTTCGTTGTTGGTCAAAGTAAATTAGTTTTTACATACCGAAATAATATATGTAAGTACTTTATACCTACTAAGTACCTACACTATCCAAAGATTTTATGATTGACTAGCTGTTGGCCGCGAGTTCGTCCGCTTAGAATATGATTCCTGTATTATTCCATTGGAGCGTTTAACCGAGATAAAGTATATATATATATATATAGTTCTATCACCTAAGTCAGCCCATACCCTGCCTATATACTAAATTTCATCAAAATCCGTTCAGTAGTTTCAGCGTGATTGACGGAAAAACATTCAAACATAGAAACTTACACACGAATACACTTTTACATTTATAATATTATTGTGATATCGATTATTAGTTAGAGTGGTCGTGGTGGCCCGGAGGTTTAAGACGCTGGCTTCTCATGCATGAGAATGCGGGTTCGAAACCTACCAACCGGCAAGTACCAATGTGACTTTTTCCGAGTTATATGTACTTTCTAAGATTATTTAGACACCACTGACAAACGGTGAAGGAAAACATCGTGAGGAAACCTGGGCTTATAATTTCTAATTATAAGTTTGTAATCGCCAACCCGCATTGAGCAAGCGTGGTGATTAATGCCCTAACCTTCTCCGTGTGAGAAGAGGCTTTGCTCAGCAGTGGGCATTTATAGGCTGTTGATGATGATGATGATTATTATTAGTTTTAGCCATAAACACATTTGGCCATAAAAACAGATCATTATATAATTTATAATGATCTGTGAACACTCCAATATTGGCAATATTAAAGGTTGAAGATCACTTAAGTACGTCAATATTCCCAAATATTCCATTAGCTAACAGGTAAAATAATTAAACTAGCAATTCTTATTTGGAACTAGGTTTAATCACATTGTGAAAGTACCCAGTCGATGTTTGGCAAACACTGTAGGTAAACGTAGTTAAAAAATAAACAAGTTCCGATCGTATCGAAGAAAGTAAGCTTACTACATCAAATATTTCATTTTATTACTTAATCATTCACCAGCGTTAAAATCCGTCGAGTAGTTTGTGTTTCTATAACGGTTATATAGACATTAGATATGGACATACAGGCAGACAGACAAACATTTTACTGATTGCATTTTCGGCACCAGTATCGATCCCTAATCACCCCTCTAGTTATCCACTAGATAGTTATTTTGGAAATATATTTTATGTACACACTTCCAGTTACAACACTATACAGTCCGAATGTACAATTTAAACTGCACAGACAAATCGTAAGGTGTACAACGAGCATTTTATTTATTTTTTAGGGGGAAAATCATCGAATGCCTGCTCCCGCCTAGATGAGGTGGGAGGGAGTGTCAGACTCTTACTGACTAAAAACCACCCCGTGCCTTTTCGTGCACTTCGAGCCGGAGTGCGTGCATAAGTCTGATTGATCCCAAGAAACATAACATAAGATCCAAAGTTGTAAACAGGTAAACATTCATTGTCGGTAATACTAATACCCCTTTTTAATCAGCCATGTTGTAAGTTTGTATGGTAGGTTTGTCTATTGCCACATAATATCTTATATATATATAAAAGAAAGTCGTGTTAGTTACACCACTAACACTAACACTAGTAACTCAAGAACGATCGAATAGAATTGGCTGAAAATTGGTAGGGGGGTAGCTTAGAGCCAGAAGACCGACATAGGATACTTTTTAACCAATTTTTTTACCGAAAATCACGAACGGGGACGGGAAAAAATGGGATTACGCGTACGAAGTCGCGGGCAGAAGCTAGTATATTATATAGGTACATCGAACTCATGCCGAAAAATTGCGATACTTGATTCGAAAAAACTTCAAATAGGTATTATTGGTAATAGGTTCGCCATTTATTACGGTTTTATAGCAACTAGCGTAACTAGTGAAAAATTGGTACTTATATGACCTACTTATGTGCACTTATATCTTATAGAGAAATCGATCATTATACTAAAAAATGTTGCTGAAACAGGATAAACTCATGAAGTCGTCATTATTATGACTGCCTCGTTGGCCGATTGGGCGCAAATGCGACTGCCGGGCAAGGGGTCTCGGGTTTAATAGGCGCTGAGCAGAGCGGGTAAAACCGCGGAAGTACCTAGTGTTACCATATACCGCCATACACTACCATACATACAGTATGCGAGAACCTACTCAACCATATTAATCTCTGTACCTCTAGATATTAACCAGTAACAGGTAACCAGGTACTCTATCCTTTCTTTTTTCGAGTATCGAACCCGACCACAGTATTTACTTTGGTATGACTTTTTGTATGCAGAACCTGCTTTGGCATTTTGCATGTATTGTATTGTTGCTACACATTTATCTACTCATTTAAATGCACCTTTATTTATTCGGTAAGCAATTTAAAGATAGCTTCTTACTTTCGATTCATATATTTTGTGCTATTTTAACTCATGGCTATGATATGAGCGTGAATATAACTACAGTCATCACAAAATAAGAGGTCAATTATCAGTCTATGGACCGCTATTACTTGTTTTGAACGTCCTGGAACGTCACCTCAGATTGGTTATCATAGTGAATTAGTGATCAGTTAATCGTTTTCAGATCATTCGTAATTAACATTCTTAAAAATCTATTTAGAATATTATAAAATATTTCGAGATAAAATGTCAAAATTTACCGTTATATATTTAGGTTCCGCTTGAATGCACCGATATGAGATACAATGGTAAATACATAGTGTCTCGCGTGGATCCACGTTTAGACACACGACGGGTTAATCTTTGAAAAATGAGAAACATTTTTCAAAGATTAACCCGTCGTGTCTTGATGCCATTGATTTGTTAATTAATGTTCTACACAATCTCATGCTATTTCGGAAGTTCTTGACATATTATTGTCGTATTTTCTGATCCAGTTAAAATAAACAGAGTTTATAACAGAGTTTATACCTCTGTTTATTTTAACTCGGAATGCCATCAGAATTGGTCATAAACAGAAACCGATTTTTTTGACCATTCACTATACCTAATCATGACAGCTGTCAGAGTTGACCTTTTTTATGTATAATACATGTTGACTGGTATGCAATGCGAATGCAACAACACTTACAGTGGCGCGGGGACGTTAACTTATAAAATAAAAATATTTACTTTGTTTGAAGGTGGGTACGTGATAATTTGACAAAATTAAACAGTTAATAATTTGCAAATTACATGTAGGTACCTGCATAATATTTTTAACATATCGCTTCCTTTTCACTAAAAACTAAAACTCACCAGTAACTTTAGAATTTAAAAACACACTAAGATTTCTTTGTGTCAATGCTAATTCGCGAAGGCCTATAATATCGGGGTTAGCACTCCAACTTGAAGTCAATACACTTACACCTCACTTTCACTATAATAAAATCCGCTTACCGTTTCGCTCCTGCACTTCCATGGTGTTCATGTTAGCATGAACTTAAGTATAGAAGTATAATTACTGCTTGAAGGCTGATTCTGTCACGCTATTGTTGTCATGGGCACTGAGTTTAGTGAATGCGGAGATCTGCACTACACGGCCCACTGTTGCAGACTGAGGACATTGCTTTATTACTCGTACTGAACCAAGAGTTGCGCTCGCGCACAGCCGTACGCCACTCTCTTACGCTATCAATGTTATTTACTAGGCGCGAGAAAACGTCACTTTATCGATATTATTGTGACAGTAAGAAACTTTATGATAACAACACTATCTGATGAAACATGTGTTTTCCAGTTTTAGTTGTGCAGATATTATATACCTGTGTTAGTTAGTTACTTATACAATAAACACAGTAAATAATAAAGGATATTTTTAAGGGGGTAAAATTATTCAATGGCCCCTCCCGCCTCGCTTAAGGCGAGAGGGAGTGTCAGACTCTTACTAGCTAAAACCACCCCGTTTTCCTGCTTCTATCCGGAACCCTTCATTAGATAAGGTACTGAACTCAATCTTCAAAAAAGTTGAATATATTTTTCTTAAGTTGCCCCACATATTTAAACATTGTCGTGAGTGCATACATAACAAACGCATACGCATCACAACCGGAATAACAATTTATGGATCACACCAAGAATTCTTCACTGAGCTACACACTGGACATCAGCCAGTCCAGCCACTGCGCGATCTGTCATACAAAGAGTTCAAACAGTAATTGTACCGTGCGGAAGTCAAATTAACGCAAGTACGCTTAGTTACTGAAAAAATCCTTATTAGTCAGAAGTACAATAATATATCTAAATTGAACTTGATTATGTTGATAGAGGCTAACATATGCCATTACGTCTGATTCACGGTAGTTCTGTTTAGTCCGTAGTTAACTAGTAATATCCAGAATGTTTAAATTGCCCAATGTGACATGACAACTGTAATATAATTCGCGATCGACTGAAAGAATGCGAACCGGTCACTATGGGCTCGTACACAAATCTGAAACGCAGAGAAATACGACACGACTTGCTGCGATGCGATTTCGTGCGACAAGGCGTCTTCCAGGGTGACCATTCCGTCGACGACCGTCAACCGTACTAAACGTATTTTAAATTGAAAACTGGGTCGTAACAATTGACATACCTAGATCATAAAGAGTGTGCACTTTTGTTATTGCTTAGGAAATACAGGAAAAAGAAACAAAGAAGATTTTGGAAAATAAGATCTTGATGCGCGATGCAAATCAATCCGCAAGCTCTTGCGATGCGCAGAGGGAGCTCGCACATTTTTGCGATGCGACGTCGCATCCCAGTTTTGTGTACGAGCCCTATGTCCGTACCTATATAAATAACATTAATTGTCCAAATGTACGTAGGAAAAGTCCTGTAGTTGTTTACATTCTGTGATAGAGGTTGATAATTGTTTTATTATGTTCCATGTTACTGTCAAAACAAGTTACCGATGAAAAAGAATTGAATTAACTCGTCGAGTACCGGTTTTATAGACACAATTAAAGAACAATAGGTCGCGGTCACCGGTGACCGCTTGGTGTTTGACAGTTTAATAAACTGTCCGAAAATAGGGAAGTACTTAGCAGTAGAACCAAGCCATAGCGCCTATAATTTTTGATTAACACTGAAAAATGAAAACTTAACTAAACTAAACTAAAAGAATAAGAAAAAATTAATAGAATAAAATAATATATTCAAAATAGTGATTTTTGTTTGTAGCGCATTGTGTACTTGACATAACAATAACTTAGCTGTATTTAAAAAGTTACAAATGTCAAAAAAATTAAAATAAAAAAAATCCATATTTATAAAAATAATCGTATGCTTACTTTAACAAACTATACCACTCAAAACAATGCAAGGGCCGCCCTGTTTGTAGGTTTTATCGAAAAGCAGTTTTAGACTAGGTTTTTTTATATTAGGACATTCTTTACACTTATTCAGCCTCAAAAGTTAATATTGTTTAGAAGTACCCGCAAAATACACATTTTAGAGAAAAAGAGGACAAAATCACTTAATTTAAAAATATTGATTGTTGCCGTTGGGGATATTCGAGGGGGGGATAATTTGACCTCTGGTGACCTCTTTTACATGACGAAACAACGCAATCGTTGTTTCACTTTGGTTTTCTGTGAGGCCGTGGTATCACTGCGGAGGAACCGGCTCATTCGTGTCTAAGCATGGCTCTCCCATACTTAAAATACATCCATAACCTCACGCCTGTCTCCCATGGGGATAGGCAGAGACTATGGACCACCAATTGTTAAATTAATTAATTGTCAAATCCCCCACACTTTTTTAGTTAACCCCGTTGATATTCAATACGCTTAAAATGGAGGCTTATGGCACGCCATGGCATTTCATGGCAATATTCTAAGATTTTAACGTGCAGAAAATGTCATAAGTAGTCAAATTTTTCAATCTTTCGATAGCAATTTCATACGTGTCAAATAGATAGAGCTCACAATACCGTCGAAAATTGCCATAGCTCTAATCTAAATCTCTCTGTCCTGAAGTAGAGAAATTGCTTTGACTGCGGTATCCTTGTCTGAACCACGTCGAACATCTGCTATAGTGTTCAGAATTAACACAGACAACAAACAAAACTCACAAAAAGCGATTCCTCTTACATTCATCGAATACTCTTACAGACACGATGACGATATTTGATGAATGTAAAATAAGTGTGTTCATACACAGAGCATAAAATTTCTTCATTTCACTTTTTTTCAAGCACTTCACTATTTCCACTTACTTGCTTAAAATAATTAAATTGATGGCGGCCTTTATTTTATTTTGAGTAGTTTAGTTATCTAGATCTGAAACTTTGAGAACTACTCAATGGGACATCCTTAAATTAGGCTTGATAGTTAGTTTTTTAGTTTAGAACATATTTCTTTCCAGGATGAATTAGACTCAACCCTCAAACAAGATTTGAATTTGATAGTATATTATAGACCTCACCTCGCCTTTCATGGCAATCGTTAGAAATTGGCTACTTGGAAAGCCCCACAATAGGGAAAGACAGTTTTATCAAATCGACACTAGATTTAATGTTAGCTGTCTAAGAAAATCATTACTGCATCTGCTTATTTTTTTGGTGGTGTTGTAAACGCTTTTTCACCTTCCTCTAAAGTAGTCGTGAGTTCACACCCTTTAGTTTCGGGTAAAAGTAGCGTTACAAAAAAGGCTATAAAAGGGATCACTGCGAATGTGATTGCAGTCAGTGAGGGATGGATGTCTTTTAAATCTAGTACAAAAGGAGCTACCATGGAACCGATCCTCGCCGACATAGATGACAAACCGACTGCACAGTTTCGAACTACAGTGGGGAATAACTCTCCACACATCAAATAAACAACCACAAACACGATGAAGCTAGTTACAACTCCGACAGTAGCACAAAGTACCGACAGAATACCTTCCGCAAATGCTAAAATAAATAAGCACGTTGAACAAATGAAATGACAAGTTAATAATATGGTCTTCCTACCCATAACTTTCATCATAGGTATAGACAGTAAAGTGCCACACAACACAACCGCAGAACTAGAAGTTACATTAATAAAAATATCACCACTTAGTTGGCCAACATATTGGGATACCCCATAAAAACAATACGAGCATGTCAACCAATTAAATGCCATAGCCAGAATGCGTTTTCGAAGATTTGGCGTTCGAAATAAATCGGCTGTGGTGCCTTGGTTTACTTTTTGTCTCGACGCAGCTAATTGATGAACTTCAACCATTGCTCGCACATTTTCGACAGGGCGTCCATTTCTGTAATAAAAAGACTTGTTAATTAAGAAAACTGAGAGACGGTTGCTAAATAAATACTAGCTACATTGACTGTATGGCGATATTCAATAGAGGACCCAAACGCTAATCACTACAATAAAGTCCTTTTATCTCTTCATTAGATACTTTTAAGGCCTGGCGTTCGTTCGTACTAATTATGTTTTAAATGTTTTGTACAGATTTTATGATAAACAATAAACGGTGTTTCGGGACGCTCGTGGCGGCCAGATGTCTCATTGGGTGTGTGCATGGCTATAGTAGGAACCATATACCTGGAATGGTATAAAAGCCATAGCTCACAAGGTAAAACTCTCTTTCCTCACTCATTCTCGGAACGCGCAACATCGCCTACGCTCCGAGACATCTGGGCGCGCACGCTCTGCAACCACGCCTACACGACTTTAACTTGTTTCAATCACTGCACACAACATCTCCAAAAACCTAATAGACACTACATGTATACCGGCGTACCATAGTAAATGACAATGGTGTTGATAATATTAGTGGAGTTCCATCTATTATCTACATTTCTACAATCTACAGCGATTACCAACATTGTACAGACTTTGTTTTAACTTACACTTTAGCAACATGTTGCAATATTATAATGGCTCTTTCAGTTTTGTGTTTTGCTATTAACCACCTCGGTGTCTCCGGTAAAGAATAGAAATAGATAAGACAAAGGAGAGTCGGTGTCGATAGGGCTATTTGTAAACTTTTAAAATCTCTATAGTAATACGCAACCCATGGCAGTACTATGCAACCCACGTTGAAAGGTGCTTGATACAAAGCAGAGAGAATCTCTCTATGTGCTGGACCAATGAATTCCATTAAGATTACAAAACTAATAACCATTGTTCCGCCTACTGATATACCGATCCCAAATCTAAATAAGGTAAATAGTTCAAAAGTTGGTAAAAAGGCTGAACTAAATGCACAAATAAATTGGAGAATACAAGCCCCAATTAAGGGCATCCTTCTACCGTATCTGAAACAAAAGGTTATTTTATTTTTATTTTTTAATTAACTTTTACTACAATAGGGTACAACGGGCCTTAGGCATTCTTACAGGCCAGAGTTTAGGTGATGCAGCGAGGGCGTGATCTGTTACCTGATGGCTTTTGGTTGGAGACCGTGTCGTGTTGGACGACACAAAACGTCTAAATTGAAAGAGCCCTAAGAAAGAATAAGTGAACTGTATGGGCAATATGGCACACCAACACCAAGAAAAATAATGATTATTATTTGGCGAGAAAACTTCCACTGCTCAACAAAGACCTTCCCGTTTTTATCAAACAATCACCCACGCCCCACGACTCTGATTACGCCCAACATCCATGCTTTTTATTTTTGAGGGGCGATAATCATCCATTGACTTCTCCCGCCCGGGTGAGGCGAGAGGCAGTGTCAGACTCATAATGACACAAAACCACTCCGTTCCTACTTCACTTCAAGCTGGAGCCCCGACAACCTGTTAAATCCTCCGCGGCTCCGTATCGGCATCAGCCCAATTGGGCGCCATCTGTGGTTGTTTGATGGAATATCCATGCCACGTCTTCTAGTTCGTGGTCGTCGCTTGAATAAGCACTTCACATAAATACATACATAACCTCACACCTGTCTTCATTGGGGAGGCAGAGACTATGGAACGCCAATTGTTACGATTCTTACATACCTCTTTCGCTTCATAAACAGTCATCAGGCACATCTATACACCAAATAATTTGTTCAATAGGCGATGACGTGGCGTAGACCATGTATAATGGGTACCCATTATACATCATCAAAATAACTATTTTTATATTATGTCAAGATACAAAAAATCTTACTTGTCGGCAACCATTCCAAATAACATACTTCCAACTAGCGTGCCTGCTTGAAAAGCTAACTGAGAGAAACTGGCTAACCATTTCTTTTTACAGATTAAATTGAATTCCGTGATTATTGTTCTAGGAAATATCCTTGTATCATATATTGGGTCATCGCAAGGGCAACCATTCAGGGTTTGAGTAGATACGCAATAAAATTGAGTGGGAGGAGCAAGAAATATAATGGCAAGTTGATGAAATGCGATGCTGATCTTTGTTAAACATAATAGCACAAAAAGCCATAATTGATATTTGCCAAATGATCCAGTGATTTGTAGAATTAAATCTTGAGGCTTGTCTTTTCCTTGGGCTGTGCCCCTGAAAAATTTGGTGTTTAGATTATTTTTTAGTAACGAAATGTGGACAGATGTTATTTTAATATAAATACTTACCAAATATACTGATACAAATTTGAGAAAATAAACATTTCAAACGGGATTTACGCGTTTTTCCGTTACGTTTAACAAAATTTATTTTACATAATAATATCGAAATTATATCGAAATCGAAATAATATTATCTGTCATTACTGGTCTATGTTTCAATGATACTTATTATACTCTTTGGTTTTGTGCGAGTATAGTAAGTATAGGGGAAGCAAGGAGTAATTAATAATCACAGATCATAAGGAAGAGTCGGTTATACCTACTAAACAGTTTTTAGTTTCAACAAAATATCTTGGGTCTATGATGTAAATAAAATCTAGTGTCCGACCGAAGTTCTATTTTTAGCCGAAGCCAAAGCCGATTAAACTGTCAAACACCAAGCGGTCACCGGTGACCGCGACCTATTGTTCTTTAATTGTGTCTATAAAACCGGTACTCGACGAGTTAATCGGAAATCGCCACCACCTTCGGCTTCGGTTGAAGGTTCATAATCTCTCGGTAATTAATATTTTGTTCAATATTGTCTACGAATTGCAATAGGGTAGATGACTAATTTTAATTTTATGTCCGTCTGATAGATTATTTTAAAATATTAGACAAGTATTTTTTTTTTACTTACGTAACAAATTTTTCCGACAGTCGTTACACAGACATTCCGTTAGTCCGACCTCACCCAGGCGGGAGAAGTCATTGGATGATTTTCCCCCCTCAAAAACAAGGTGTTTAGACATCTGAGGTGTTGGAAACATTTATTTATTCCACTTACATTTACCTTTACATGATAAAATAAATTTGAATGAATAATAGACATTTTGTATATTATTGATTTTTCCCGGTACTTTCTTAAAAAAGTATTGTTTAGAAAGAAGGGTTACTATAATACAAGTATTACAAAACCAGATTTCACTTTTGCGATTTTATTAAATTTATACACATCTGTTCAAATATTCACCTATTTACACAATATTATATTTCTAGGGCAATTAAATAATAATATATGTAATTGTTTGCGACATCTTTTCCCTTATTATTTTTAACTTTTCGACCGCCATGTCAAAGAAATAAAGAGTTGGTACGAAATTATAAGTTTTTGTTATCATAAGATACATGGCATACTGGACACATTCTGGTTTGTCCTCCTTGATTGTGGTGGTCAAAAAGTTGATACAAAGCGTTCTAACAGAACATTGTTTTGACAGTATTGCTACCTGTTTCTTTTTCCAATGGCCTTTTCAAAATAATACACAATAAATTATTCATAATGATATTCTATCTATGTATTAATAAAAAACATATTACTAAAACATGGATTAACGAACTGCATATAAGTTTTCACTGTCTCAACATAATTTATTCAGTTTCGATATACTTAAAAATATTCAATATCGTTTATAACAAACTGTATGTTTAAGTGGTTCATGCAATTTCTAAATTGAGAAGTAGCAACACGTCGTTTAAAGTATTTCCAAGTTAACTTGACAGTAATAGTAATCACCTAAAGCCAAAGACTTGAGCTAAGTTCAGATAGCAAGCGCTAAGCGCGCGTTTTGATAACACACATTTACAACTACATAAGTTTTATTCAGGCCTTACGTTTAGCGCCAGTTAGCTTGTGTACAGCATAGTGCACATATGTGTAGTTGAAAACACGCGTTGTCAAAATGCGCTTTTAGTGCTTGCCATCTGAACCTAGGCTTATGGTACTGTGTTACACATGCTTTAAAATAGCATGTTAAAGAACGTTTTATTGAGCATGCTCAAAAATCGCGCGCTTATTAGGACACGCTAATTTGAGCAACATTCCGACATACATGCTATTAAGTAGCAAGTTCTCAATTGTAGCATACTATCATGCTTAATATAACCATGTGTAGCAGTACCTTTAAATGCTCTACTCAAAACATTTGACGGAACTATGAGAAATAGTTTGAAATAGACTTACATTACTTTATTTTAGATTGTTTAAACATCAATCGAATATAAGGCGTTATGATTTGTAATATGATTCGAACCAAGATACATACATTGGTCATTAACTTGATGCTGACTGAGTAGGTAAATTAAGTTACGCGACGAAACGATATTAAGTAATCGCAACTAGATAAATAAATCTATAGACCACTCTGCTTACAAGGATAACGATGTTCTATAAATTAAAGTGAAATAATTAAGATTTATTGTTCAATAAGTATGTAATAGACCAATGCCAATGGATCACTCCCTCTTAAAATAAAATTATCTATACTAAAATATTTACATCAACAAAATAGGAAAAATTATATAACTACTTCACTTATTTACCTCATGTCATGTGAAAACTTAAATATACATCACGTAATTATCATAGCAACATATCAATCTTTTAATATTATTATTATTTTTAACAGATAACATTGAAATATCACATGATGAATGTTTCAACACAATAATGCATGAAAATGCCTAAATTAAATACCATCATAGCTTTATAAATAAAATATGTCTTCAATGTTACAATTACAATTATTTATTATATTAATAATCTTTTAAGGAACAAACAATAAAAGTACGATTGAAAATAATGTTCAATAAACATGTTGATACAGGCTGATAAAAGGGATTGGTGAGAAATATTGACAAATATTGTGAAAGACGATTTTATGGACATTGAGTAGTCAATTCGCCTTATAAAATCACAGCTTCTGTTGGTGTCATAGAGCGCTAATTTACCTAAATGAGGACATAATTATTGGGACAATTTAAGTACACCTAGTTATTTACTGAAAGGCACTAAGACCCTAATCTACAATAAAATTTCTGTACATGGTTTTGAATTTGAGTTCCATACTAATTTATGTACTTATAGCGTTCAGGCAACATGTTGACGCATGACTAGCCAATATTTATGTACAATTAAATTAAAACCTAAATAGTACAGCCAGATATTTTTACGAATTTATGGAATAATACGCAAGATGCTAGATGAGCTCTTACTACATTAAATGCAATTTTTACTCATTGATATACTTATTTACATGACTAAATTAATATTACAAAGAAAACTCACTTGAAGAAATGTCAAGAGTGGAGACTGTGCTTTATAGTTGATACCTTAATATTATAGTATTAACAATGGTCTTATTAAATTCAAGCTACTAGATATCTTAAGAAATTTATTATTGCAATTTCGATAACGTTCAGGCAATCCTCCCTTCCCTGTAACACAATTATGCGACAAAAATAATAACACAGTCTAACCTCGCAACTTGAGAAAAAGGTTTCATAATACTCAAAATATGGGAGATAGAAAAATACCAGTACTTAGAGGTTATTTTCTAACTCCAATACTACTAATAATAGTTATAATACGACAAAAGGTGCCCTGCAAGTTTGAGACTGAACTGTATGATCAACATAAGACATTTTCATGAATTTAAGTTAGTTACAAGAGAAATGCTTGAGAATAACGCACGTTTTATATTTTTATACTATACTTTTAACAACTCGTCAAACATTTATACTACTTATAATAAGTATTATAAGTACTTCTGTATTGAGTACGGGTATACTTCGTTATATTGGAGTCCAGGTGGCGTATTACGACGTTTTAAAGCCAGAGCGGTTCCGCTGAGGGAATGAGATCTCGCTAGACGACTTGTATAGCTCTGTTTCTTTCCCTAAATGGAACCTAATGGACTTTAGGACGTCATCTTACCCCGCAGGAAATATAACGTAAGGAGTTTTGTCCCTACTTTCGCTAGATTCATTCAGGAAATAAAAAAAATATGCCATATATTTTTTTTCCTATTGCTATATATGTATGTATTTGCTTATTGGTAAGATAGGTAGGTATTGACTTCATATTCATAAAATTGAGCTAAGAAAACGCTCTCTAAGATTTTTCTATTAATCCGTACGCATTACAGAAGTCTTGTGAAGTATTGAAATGGGTTTTCAGAGCAAATTCTTTACAGTTAGAAATATTGAAATAATAATACATTATGCTGCCGTATGTTTGATGAAGAATAAATATTACGACTTTTAGTTTAAAAATACCTTTGCTTTTAGTAAGATAGTCGAAAATGAAGAAAGTTTATGATTAATAAGAGGTACTAATTCAAGCAATAATTGAATTTTGCTCTGAAGTCTCATCCTTGTTAATTATTAATTTAATTTGCATTTGATAAAATCTTCACTAATATAACATTTTGATGATTGACCACATTCTTTGTAATATAATATATAATTTTCTGATTGTCGTAATTATCTTTAATCCGTAGATCAGTCATATCTATACATATAACTTATCTGCTACAAATTTGTACCAGGAACTCAGAGTTCTAAATATCGGTATCATTAACAAGTCATTTAAGTAAAATTTCTGGATGTGTATCTATATGTATGCATTAAATATTATGTGGAGGTAGGCATATCCTTTCCATGGGCTGATTAATTGATTTACGAACCATACCAGTTCAACATTACACCCAGCCATTAGCGTGCGGTGGGCGTCAGAAATGGATTGTATGCAGGTTCGTAAAATCGTTAAAATTACACATATAAAGGTACTTATAGATTGCTTTCGATCACAACTTTGATTTAGTAAACAAAACAGAAACAATAACATAAATTGAAACTTCTCATGAATCATAAGGTTTAAAAACAACTTTACGCATTGTTGGTGAGATTCAAAAAAATAAAGCAGATTCCAGCATTGAAAAATTGAAGATATTACTTGTCTCGTTATAATTCAAAAAAAGCTTACTAATAAAAAACTAAGAAACTTATAGTTTCTAACTCTAGGAGTGAATTATTGTAATAATATTGAATACCTAGTACACAATAGAGTACAAACTTAGGTACTATAATGCCGGCGATTTTTTATTTTGGATACAAGATTACAAATTTTTAAAGCAGGACCTAACTTTAAACCCATATATTTCATCATCATATCAGAGTTTAGCAACAGTAGGGCTTTTCCATCTATTTCCTGTAACAATACAAAAAAAAATGGAATCAGTTAATTTTTTATTTGTATCATTTTAAAGACAAATTCAAAATATAAATAGTAAAAATTTTATATTCTTATAAATAGGATAACATTGGTAATATTATGATAGCGAATGTGTCGTCTTTCTCTCACATCGTTCGACATCGCCGCAGTGTCTGGATAGTATTATTTTTGTGTAGAGTTGTTCAGGTTTGAAAGTGATATAGGTTACTATTTACAGTGAACCACCCAGGCAGAAACCGTATTATAACTTCGGTATAACTTTAGAAAATATAGAGGTGTTCAGCATTTTTATTTAAATTACAAAGATTGTTGGCACTTACATGTTTCCTAAATAAGTCGGCATGAGCGGCAAGGGCAGGGTCGGCGGCTGCGATAAACCCGATGACGTCTTCGACGGACCAGTCGGCGGGCGGCGTAGCTGGCGAGGGCGGAGGCGGCGCCCCTGTCGTAGAGGAAGCTGGCTCGGGTCGCTCCGGGGACACGCGTGCCAACTTGCCACTCGAGCACTCACCCGACCCATTCACACTACTTGCTGTAGTCTCCTCCTATAAAGGATTGATAGAAGACATACAAAATACTGAATGTGATATGACCAAGCTTGTGGAGTAACACGCTATATTATTAAATATTCCTCCAAGCATGGATAGAAACAGACAGATGAAATAATAAATTAGAGAAAACCATAAATACTGAGTACCATTCATGCTTCATGGATAATTGGATACAAAATCTGGAACTATGCCAGACATAGTTTCACCTTGTTACACAATTGCAAAAATTGTACATAATTAGATTTATAATATTATGTGCAGCTCTGTTAAAGTATCAGCTGTATGACGCACTGTACTATCGTTTTGTTAAGTATAAGTAGCTGTGTAAATACACTGCCCATAGCTACACGCACATGAAAGGCTCTGAATGTAAGCTTAAGTAAGTGTAATGTGTAAGTGTAAGGTTTTAAAACGAATGAACTAGATTACTCACATTATTAGGCCTCTTTACACCAGATGTTATGACATTATTATTAGATGTAGATTCTCCACAAAGGGTGCAAGGCCGACCAGCAGCCTCACCAGTGTCTATCTCTATCATTCCAATACAGCTGCCAACTCCACTAGTAACAGCTTTCAACCAATTCTTAAGTTCTCTATTGTCAACTCTGATGGGACTTTCACTGAATAGTTTTTATTTCCTGATGAAACCTGAAAAATATTTTTGTTGTTAATATTTTTAAATAAAAAAAAAATAATGTTATTCAGAGGCAAATGAAAGCCTCTGAATACTACAAAAACAATATATTAGATTAAAATAAATTACCTGTACATTCGTTATATTAGAATAGCTACTAGATGCTGTGAGTATTGCTCTTGTCAACCTTTGAGGGTCAGGATGGACACTGAGCAATTCCTTGACCAAAGCTTCAGCAGCTCCAGATGGGCCAGTCCCTAATACAGAAGTTGGTAAAGAGCTGCTACCACCGGTACAACTGCTGCGGATACGGAGGCACACTGTGGCTACTGGTGTGGGTGTTACAGAAGCATTCGAGTTCCCAGCTCCTGTAGATCCACCTTCTGGTAAAGCCGGATTAGGCATACCACTAGGCCTTAGCTTAATCTGTAATGTTTACCAAATTTATTAAAAAAATATATATCAACGTTACTTGTTATTATAATAACTAATAACCCCTCTGTGGTTCGAAACTAGTAGAGCTTTTTAGTATATTCACGTGAGTAAACCGCGATTTTTAGTTAATCAAGGTACTTGTTATTAGTTTATTATAACAAACAAGATTTGTGATGACTAATACATCACCAATGACTAACAATTTTTTAAGTAATTATTAAGTGAATTGAACATAGATTTTAGAGCAGACTGTGGTGTATATGATACTGTAATAGCCCAAATAACACCACTTAGCAAAGCTCCATCAAACACTGACATGGCAATCTTAGGATTAAACTTTACCTCCAAGACAGAGAATCAAATATCTCACAGAATTTAACTTTTATGTAAAAAATATTTAACATTTATTTTAAAAGTAATCACTGAACTGCTGTTATAATAAAAATGATTTAAAAATTAGTGTTTTGCATACACCAGCATTCAGCAGACCACAACATTTTCTTTAATGTTTTGTGATTAAAAGTTTATCAAAATGAATAGAAAGTTAATCAAAGTTAATCAAGATTAGCTAGTTTAATTTAACCTTTCTAATCTATTTAGCATTTCCAATAAGCAATCAAAACCATGTTAATAAAGCAGCCTTAAGGCATCAACTGTTTAAGCATTTAAAATTCATTTTCTATATTAACCTTTATACCGCCATGTCGAAAACCAGACATGTTTTCAGTGCCAAGCTAAGAATTCATCCTTTAATAGTTTTTATCTTTTCATACAGACAAGGTTTCATCATTTTAAATAACATACACGAAATATAAAGAGGGTCAATCAATAAACATAAAAATGAGTAAAGGAACATAATTAGTAAAAGAAATACAAAAAAAAATAAAGGTTATTTAAGGTTTAAGTCTGTCATGTAGCCCTAACTGTAGTGTGCAGCACTTTTTGGTTGTCATCTATACAAGGCTGGCAGTTAAAAGGTTTAAAAAAGACAAGATGAATTACCTTGATGGAGTGGTAGCACTTTTCTGACCAGGAGGTTGTAAAGGGTGTCCAGCCCTAGCACACCAACCAACTGGAAATATGTCTCTTGAATCATACCTACACCAGTAATCAAATGCACCTCTCCACCCATCAAATGTTACATGTATCTGATCATTTTTCACTGCCCCAACAGTGGCACAACAAATGAGTTGTGGATTTTTCTTATCTACTGCCTCTAATTTTTGTCCAACAACAAACACATTTGACTTAGGAGTTGGAGGTTCAGGTTGAAAGACTTTAGCTGGAGCCATTTCAGCACCGTTTAAAGTTTTAAGTAAAAACATGGGCCAACTACTGGCATTCATCCGAAACCCTAACGGTGGCTGCAGCATGCCATCATTTCTTTCACAGTGACCAATAGGGTGAATATCTCCTGCATCAACAAGACGCCAAAAATCATTCTTATTATCACTTCCATCAAGCCTCAGTCTTAGTCGAGGACCTAGCACCCCAACAACGGTCGCAATACATGTTGATGTCAAATTACGTGGATCTAATGCTTCTAATTTCATTCCAACTTTGAAGTCATTTACAGGGGGCATTGGAGCCTGTTTAAAACATTCTTGAGAGGCTGCTACACTATTAGTGTCTTTCATATATTCATTCCAGTCAAAAGCTTGGTAAATGTCATAAAAGGAACCTGTAGAATTATTATTCGCATGATTTTCTGTTCCATTAGCCCCATTACCCGATTGCGGTGATGAAGTACGTTTCTCGTTTTTCTTTTGATACTTGTTTAAACAATATGTGGAACAAAAATTCTTACTACTTGAAGGTGCATTACCACGAATAACATTATCACAATGAAGACAGGCGCCTTTGCTGTATGCCTGTCTGAATTCAGACAAACACGTTTCTGAACAAAATTCTTTTTTACCGTTTTCGGTTGGCAGGACATATTTTAGTGGTGTTTTACTTTCAGCACACCAAGTGCATGTACGTTTTGGAGGTCTTCCAGGTCCACGTATTTTGCCGGGAGCTGGCCCGGATGAGCCGACAGTGTTGTTTGACATCGTTCCGTATGTAGATTTTAATACATTATATTATTCCAACTCTTAGTGCATAAAACAACCAATTTACATTATAATCCACACTCACAACAAATCACAATATTACAATTAATAAATTAGATTTATTTGCACAAAATATAAACAACGTCAGTGCGTATTTATGACGCGCTTCCAACGGCCATCTTTGTTCTTTTTGTTTTTTTTTAGTTTTGACGAAGCAAGAGATGAAGTAATGGCAACATGCTATCTGGCAGCATGTAAATTAAAATTAAAATATTTTCTCTAAGTTTCATAATTTTATTATTTATATAAAAAATAGTTTTTCTACAATAAAAATTATTTTCATGAACATTTTTTTCCTATATATTGTACTGTCTTTAGACAAAATTACTAAATAAAAATACCCTCATTCACCAAACGTCAACAAGACAAACGAAAAGTGATTTACCTATAATTTCCTTAAACTCTTTGACCTATATTATAGAACAGTATAATACATCTTCTACCATGTGAAGAAAAATTTAAATACATGCATAATTTTATCACTTTGATCTTACCAGTTCAATTACAATTTAATCCTTTGTTTTAACAAGTTCTTTTAACGAAACATTTCTACATTTCTATTAACAAAGTTTTATTGCACACGTTGACGGTAAAATTAAAAAAAAAAGTAGAACTGGTCTAAATAGAAAACGATTTGCTGCAAATCTATACAGAAAAATAAGATTGGTAATAATGATTAGTAACAGTTCAATGATAATCCAGAACAGAGCTCTTGTAGTTTCAATGTATGGTTGTTAAGAACGTCAACAACAAAACAAATAACAATTTCGTGACCAGTTGTTTCAGTAGTTGCACTTCAGTTGTCGTGACAACTTTTGGATCTTAATTATATCTAAGTATAAAATAAGTATGGTACCTGGGTACTACCATACTTATATCGCACCCTGAGAACGAAAGTGACTCAACTCAAAATTGCCAATTTTTGGGAATAGGCGAAAATGTGTCCGTCGTATTAAGCATTTTTTATTCGTTTTACAATAACACTAAAACATGGTAACAAAAGTTATGAATTTCTTTTGAAATATATTTGTCTTGTCATGACAACTCACGGTGCAACACTGATTTCGTCACTTTGATTCGGGCGCGGGGGGAGGGAACGGTTGAGGGACAAAGAGACCGAAATATATCTCTATCCTTTTCTTACCTTTATTGGCCAGTTTTCGAATTTATGTATGATGGAGTAGGTATACTTTTTTGAGTCATTTTGTATACTTAACTCATTTAACCAAATTTTTGAAATCGGTCACTTTCGTTCTCAGCATGCGATATATTACGTTTTTCCATACGTTAAGATTACACAATTACATGCGTATTAGGTAGAAACAGTATCTTACCTAGGTTTTCTTTTTTTAGTCATTTTTTCTTGTCTTCTATTACAACTACAACGTTTCTTTTGTAGGTGGTTAATTAAATTGCAGTACTGATACAATAAAAAAGTAGCCTTTATTGTAATGTCATCGTCACTGATTGATTTCTTATAAATCTGATTGTGAACTTAAGATCAGGTTAGTAAAATATTGATATCTGAATCACCTGATACCCTCTCCTGCATAAAAAACTACTTCTGTCACTCCACAGCTTGTGGAATTGTCAAAAATATGACAGCTAGTGTAATCATCATCAGTCAGTCAGTATTTTAAGTCATTGAAGTGCTGACAATAGTGAGGTCACCGTTTGATTTTGTCCCAAAATTGGGGTAAAAATTTGTTTTGTGTACGACATGTTTATAAGTGCTTTTTCAGGTATTTAATCCGTACTTCCAGGGATATCTTGTATAAATCGGTATGACTATATCGTATCGCTAAATCGATTATATTTTTAATTACTACGGAATACTGAAGGTAACTCATAATATTTCACAATTTCTTGCGGAATCTGGTATTAAGTTACATAACATAACTTCACGCTTTTCATCCCCAGTAATACTTAGCCCGACCCGGGAATCGAACCCGAGACCCCTTATCCGGCAGTCTTTCAGAGGTATTGAGTTATTGATATTGCATTAAAGTCTTATTATTTCTCTGCATAAGGAGAGGTTCAAGTATTTCATTCGGACCAAGGACGTTGAAAAAGAGGCGGGCACAGTTTCTTGACACAACGACTGTGGTACCAAGTTACTATGGGCTTACATGCAGAACTTATACACATTGACAAGAAGGCTATCTGTCATTTTCTTAACACATTGAATGCCGTGTCGGACAAAATGATGTCTGACGCTAGCGGAGGATTAGCCTTTAACAGTTTTTGTCGGCAGTATAAGGCTTAAGCTGGTAACGTGGTACCCTATTACATACACATAAAAACCACTGACATTTTGGTGCTATCATTTCTGAGTGACATTATGTCTCCTTTTTTTAACGTCGTCCTTGAATCTGACCACAGTCGACGTGTGGTTTAATTGAATGAACTTAATGAACTAACAATATTTTATGATAATACGGTGGCATAAAAAGTATTTCAGGGACAAATGAAATTTGGAGGAGAGGCAACTGAGGCAATGGGAAAGATGGAGGGAATGAACTGTTTTTACTTGTTTAAACGCTACATTATACTCAGTAAGCTTGGGTCAGGAGTCTGACCCTTGAGTAAAATGCAGTTCTTAATTTAATTTGAATGTCCTGAGTCAAGCCTTCAAAATTGTCTTGTTCAGTACAAATGTTTTCAAGAGTTGGTAACACTGAGTCGTAGAACGTTTAAACTAACCTTACACCTAAAAAACTAGGTTATAAAAATAAACTTATGATTGCGTGTACGTTATTAAAAAGAACTATGTCTCAAAGCATTGGTAATAGGATTCTAAATAATGCTGAAATAGCTGAAAAGAAACTGGCACAATTAAGGACAAAGGTATTAAGTCAACAACCTTTCAATTTTGATACATTGAAATTACTTTTCGTAAAATCTTATTAGAGAACAACAGGTACCCAAATTTTAATGTTTTTTTATTTTAGCTAGATGAAGTTAAAAAAATCAAGATTGAAGAAAAAATACAGGCACTTACAGAGGAGAATAAAGGTTTAGCTGCTAAAGTAGAAGCTGCTAAAGCCAATTTGATAAGATTGGAAACATTGAATGGTAAGAAGCAATACGCCATACCAGGCAAGCAGTCAGTAGCACCTGTTGAAAATGTTAAAACCGAGGATGCACCAGTTCAATCTGAAAAACAGCCTGCTCCGAAGAAGGCAAAGGAAACTGTAAAAAAACCCAAAGAAAAATCAGAGCCTGCTGGTGATTCCATCGTAGATGTCAGGAAGTTAGATTTCAGAATTGGAAAAATTATTGATGTGAACAAACATCCTGATGCCGACACATTGTATGTAGAGAAGATTGACTGTGGAGAGGATAAACCCCGCACTGTTGTCTCCGGTCTTGTAAATCATGTACCAATAGATGAAATGCGTGATAGAATTGTTATGATACTAGCAAATTTAAAACCAGTAAAGGTAAGGAAATATACTCGTAATAAATAACTATAATAAATTGACATACAATGTAAATACTTTTAAATAATTATAATTTCGTAACTTTTTTTTTCAGATGAGGGGAATTACATCAGAAGCAATGGTCATGTGTGCATCATCCCCTGAAAAGGTTGAAATTCTCATGCCACCCCAGGGAGCTGTACCTGGTGATTTAGTAGAGTGTGAAGGTTACCCTCGAGAACCAGAAGCTGTACTTAATCCTAAGAAAAAAATATTTGAAACCTGTGCTCCTGACCTCTTAACAAATGATGACAAAGTTGCATGCTACAAAGGAACTCCTTTATTTGTCCCTGGAAAGGGAGTGATAGTAGCACCGACATTAAAAGGAGTTAATGTTAAATAGGTAATTTTGTTAAGTTTCAGTAATATAAACATATAAGATTGTAATGGCAAAGTCTTTGATGTTTCACTGCTAAGCATAACCTGATCCTCACAAGTTTTAATTTTCATCTGCTTAGACTGCTTATTAGTCTTATTTGGAACTAGTTCCGTGCGGTTTCACCCGCTCTGGTCGACGCCTATTGATGCAGCGTGATGTTTTATAGCCCTTCTCGATAAATGGGCTATCCAATACAAAGAGGATATTTCAAATTGGACCAGTACTTCCTGAGATTAGCACATTCAAACAAACAAATTCTTCAGCTTTAAATAATGTATATTAAAGGACTGCCTCATTGGCCGAGTGGTCGCAAGTGCAACTGCCGGGAAACCGGTCACGGGTTCGACTCCAGGGACTAAAATATTACTGGGTTTTTAAAAAAATCATTGTACAGTGGCATAATGTGCAACTACCCCTTCGGGGATAAAAGGCGTGATGTTATTTTATATATAAAAATGAATCCCTTTTCCTTGCTCACGGCATCACGCGTGAATGGCTGGACCAATTTCACTAATTCTTCTTTTGTTGTATTTGTTATTATTAGGAGAAAGTTCCTACGGGAACGGGAGAAAACGGGATTGCGCGTAGGAAGTCGCGGGCAGAAGCTAGTAGTATATATAAGATTGAAAATATTGATTATTTACTATTAACATCAAAAATTTCTTTACTTGTTTATAACATTATTTATTTTATAGTTATAGTTACCCTTTTATTTATGGACTAGTACAGTGTATTTATGCGATCATTTTGCGTAAAGCTAATCAGAAATCTTATTTCAAGTTGTTAAACTAAATATGAAAAATGAGTTTTAAATACAATTTTAACACGAAAAATTAAGTTTCTTTTATTATGTCTCAAAAGTTTCAAGACAAATACTCCATTATTCCCATGATCTGATGTCTAATCATAAAACACTGAAAAGTGTATTGTTGACCAGGGATGTTATGGATATGAAATTTCGGATACGGATTGGATACGGATATAGAAATGATTACGGTTACGGAATGGATACGGTTACGGACGATAAATTTTGGATGTTAGTTTCGGATAATTTCGGTTACGGATATTAAAATTTTAAGGAATTTCAAAAGTAAAATACAAATAGCTAATATAATTGTTTTGTTTATTCGTCACGCCGCTATCCGATAGTATCCGAAACTTTTATTTCGGATTCGGTTACGGTTACGGATATTTTTTTATATCGGATATCCGATAGTTTCGGTTACGATTACGGAGCTCCCTAACATCCCTGTTGTTGACTATGTGATTCTTATAGGCGCTTATTATTCAGAATTAGTGGAATTCTTAATGAATAAAAACAATTAAGTAGATTTTCAAACTTTATCATTGAATGTTATAAATGAAACAACATCGTAAGCAATATCAACAATATTTATATTACATCTCTATGTGATTTCTATACAACAATTTGCTGTCATTATTTACTATGTAGAAATTTAATTTCTAATTTCAGATAGAAAAATAGATGTGACATAACATTAACATCAAGACCACAAGAACTCCACACTTAAATCTTTACGCTAATGGGGCGATTGGAAAGTTACTATTCTCTCATTTTTTATTCAATTCCTTGTAGTGTGGTCTTGTTAGGATAATTTCTATATTAGCGTCAGTAATTTCAACATGTGTATGCTACATTCTGAAGTGTCCTTGGAAAACTATCTATGTCACTTCAACATCAACATATTATTATGAGCCATTAGGAAAATATTTCTTTATAATTAATTAACAAATGTGCAGGCAAGCTCAGTTCCAAGTGAATAATCATTCATACTTTATCTATTACATTATGTTTAATTATCTTATGTTAGTAATATTAAGTACTTAATATATGGATATCATTTATAGAAAAGTAATGGAATAAGTTGTGGCGAAACTAAGGATCATACATATAAATACCTGGTTGCAAGTCCTGTTACTGTCGACATGTTAATTTAGAAGACGATTTTACTAGTTAAAAGAATAATACGAATATGGAATAATGAATTCGAGCAATTTCACCTATTGACAATTAGAATGTGATTTATATAGGTAAAACAGGACGTTTTAATATTAGATAACCAGAACCTTATCACTGGCCACAAAAATATATGACCAAAGCTAGGCAACTACTTATATGAAGAAATATCTATTAAGTGCTTGACATTATTAGAAATAGTTTTATTTTGTAAGTGCCAAATTTTAAGCATACCTGAACATCAGTACATTGCACCATGATAAACTACGATTAAGTATAGTATAATAGAGCCAATCCTTTGTGCGATATGATCGGAATATACGTATATTAATTATGAACTCTGCCACGATATAAATATGTGCTCATTAACAACTTTAAATTTCCATCAAGTTAGACAAAATACATTTTTATATCTCACTGGAATTTACTTCAATATTTCAACTTTTACAATTCAATTGTATTACTTAATATATATTTTTATGAGACGTCTAATATATCAAGTTTGTACTTTTATGTAAGAAAGTATCCAAGTGGATACTTTACCATATTGGATTTTTAATCTCATTTTTTAATTTTGTACATAAAGTACTTTGGGCGTGCAAGATAATTTACATAGGTATGGTTACTACATATTATTCTTATTAAACGACTACTGATCCCAAACATAGTTGTCTTCGTGAAAAAGTTAAGTATGCATTAGCAAGAAACCTACTTTGGAGCCGAAAATGCTGGTATTCGTACGAGTGTTCTACGCGAGTAGACTTAATACGTTTGTAGGTCATCTTTAAACAACGTTGCCGGCTTTATTCTACCTTGTAGAAAACACAGTATTTTCAGGGCAATAAATAAAAATTAAATATTTCTAAAATTGACAACTACACTACTAATGTAACATGTGTAAAATTTTATGCAATATCAATAATTTCTTTTTGTAGAATTAGCAAAATTGGAGATTGATTTGAACATAAAATTTTTTTTATTATCAGTTACAGTAAAAGTTCAGGCAACTATGACTCAGAGACAACAAAACAGTCAGAATTTTTATTTTTCTCCTACCTATTAGATCACATAGTAATAATGAATACTGCACCCATTTTACAATTTACATGCACATTTCGAGTAGTATCCAGATATGTTAGATGCTGAAATTGTTAGGACATATTATGTTATAAATTCTTAAAATCTTAATTTAAATATACTTATTTAGATTTATATTTTATTCAATATCAATTCCTTCAGTTGATAAAACTGTGGTAAAAGAATTACATACAATTTTGGTAAAACAAGCAACACTGAGCAATCGTAATATTTATCATAACCAAATATGTAATTGTCGTTTACGTCAATGGTTAGAAACATTTCAAACTGATTTTGGTAAATACTAAAACTACAAGTGTTGCAATGTACTTCAAATATTATGCTAAATACATCTTATTGATCTATAATAAAGATAAAACTACACAATCTAAGTTCTTCCAAGATTTTTTACTATGTTAGATTAAAATGTTAAGAATAAAATCTCCTAATCTTTGGTAGATAACCAATCACCATATTATATAATATATTTTTTTAATATGTGTAGTAAAAATAAAAATATGTATAAAAATATATGGATGTAGATGACAGCCACCTTAGAATGGAAACAACACATACATGTATAAGTAGTTACGTAGATAGTTACATGCAAATAATATTATTAAAGATAGTATAATTATCTTACATTGGTAGTTATTATTCAATAGTTTGGCATTGGGTATTCACTGCTCAATCTACAGGAAACCAATAAAAGAAACTGCTATGTCAAGTAGAATGACAGTCAGAAATATAGATATACAAAAATAAAATAAAAATTCACAAATTGGAAGAACAGCGGAATTATAATTGATTTGGGATTGACGTCCATATTACATTAAAATATAAATAGAATGGTCGTATACAGGTCACATTTTAAAAATATCCAATTAAGTATGATTTAAAGCGATTTTACGTCATCCATAAATAGGAAGTAAAGCATAGGGGAATGGCACAGTTAATTTGGGGCGATTACAATAAAATGAAGTTAAAAAGTATGAATTATTACCTACATACTTAAATCTACACTCTTTTAACGCAAAGAACAATGAAATAATTGTATATAATAATAATAATATAATTACTTATTCTAAAATACTAGGTGACACTACAAAGTCTAGAACTAGAGTGAAGGTAATTGAAATGAATTATGCTTTAAGTTAGGCCTTACTGATATGAAATGATTACGAGTATAACATCACCCATACAAAAATAAATTAATATTGGTTTTGTTCAACATAATAAAAGAAGAAGGGTCAAGAGAAAACTGTTAGGTGATGAAATACAGATATGATAAAATGAATAAAGACGACACGATAATGTATTAACATTAAAACCAACAAAATATAAGATTGTCATACAAATATTATCATTGATTTTTTTTATTCACGCATGTTTGCAAGAAGTATACAAAATATTCAAGTTTCTCTGGTTGTAAAAAGATGGAAGTACTACGTGTAGTCGCTGTCTTTTTACGTTTTGTTTATAAATATAATTGTTTAATTTCTATAATTAAATCGGACATACAAAAAATACTGTCTTACAAAAATATAAACAACTTTCTGTTATAAGAACAACATCGAAATAAAATACGTTTGAGACGACTAATGACTATGAGTATCTAAAGAATTATTATGAAGAATACTTATACAACACGACGCACCATCAAATTAATATAATAGTAGCTAATACGTTTAATGAAGTATACAAAGATAATATTGCACATACAGCAATGAAAACTAAATGGCACAGAGAAGTATAAAAATAAATTGTATGCAATGTAAAAAGCGATTAAGTTTTAGAACATGAACAAATTCACTACTTACATAGAATAAAAGTTGGGGCTAAGATTACTAATAATAAGATAAAAATGTTTGATCAGATATCTACTACTCTATTCCATACTGCGATATTAATAAATAATATAATTTTTAGTCCGCGGCTGTACAGGTGGGCAAGTAATATTTATTATATTAAGCCGTAACACCTGCCATCTACAATAAATACTTTGCAGGAAGACGACTTTCATTGGTCATGACGGTAAAGCTCTTTAACGCACATTGTTTTAAATGCAGCTGATTTGACGTTTAATAATATAATAATCATTTATCGTATAATACACCTAATAGAAAAATATCGCTCATAAAACAATATAGGATTACGTTATACACAACACCAACTAAACTAATTGTGACATTATATGGAATGTCGTTAACTATAAATGATCCTGTCCTTGATGACATTCCAATGCATAAAATAAAATACTCTTTTACAATCACATTCGTTTGTCTGCATAATACTAGCAGTCACAAAAGCAGTCGAAACAAAAACATGTAACAGTGCAGACGGTTAATACTTTATTTACTTTCGATTCAATTATATGGTTTTGGCATTTAATTGAGTCTTATAAGTTTTTGTAGACTCCCAAAACCTGTCATCGCGATCCTCTGCAGTTGATTGTGCTTTATAACATGTACTTACATTATCATTCGTAATGTACCCAGTATTGATTTCTTGATATTCACCACTTGATTGAAGATTTTCATTTTAAAGTTGTGTTGGTGGGAAACGTCGCTGTGGTTTACTACGACGCTGCGCGAGAGTTGATTGTGACACAGGACCCAGAACTTGGGGCGTCAGTGGCGAAGCTGTCATTGCCTAGAAAGAGATTATCACAAATAAGTAGATTTTTATTTCTTGCTGAATAGTCGCCTGGCAGATAATTAATATATATATGTACTACGGCTCACAAGTATCTGTAGCTCTCTTATGGTCCAGTGAGTTGAAGAAGAGATTTATACTTAAAAGTCTCCTGGACTTTCAGCCGCCTCTCCATAAGCCTTAATTCTACCTATCTAGAAGACATAACATACCTGGAAGGTAAGATCGACAGCTCGTCGCAGGTCGCTGGGTGGGTCTGTATCAGGCGCCGGGTGGGCGGCGGGTTGCGGTGGGTGTGGGGCAGTGATCCACGGCTCTCGCACTAGCTCAGCGGCGCGCGGCCGCTGCGCCGGCTCTAGTTGTAGCATGCGACGTACGCAGCCCCGCGCCTCCGCTGACACGTGACGCCATACTCCAGTTGATAGTTCCACCTGACACAGTCGATTTACGGTTTCATTCATCTATCTATCATTCGATTTGCTTACTATAAAATGTGTCAAAATTGAGCAAGTTCTCGATTATGAAAGTTATAAATACTTTAAAAATTATTAAAACATAGTGCTAAGACCTTACACAACATTTTGTTTAATTAAGAATTTATGTGAGTGTGCGTCTTTGCGTGCACAACTCCCAAACTACTCGACCAAATTGAATAATCTATTTTTTTTTGTCTTATTCGATAAAAGATAAGAAAAAAACCGAAGCCTTAACCAGAAGTGTTGGAAAACAGCAACCAGGTGAAATCGGGCGCTACTTTTAAATTCATGACATGACATGATAATATTAGGATATGAATGGAAAAATAATAAAGATAAAAAGTCCGTCAACCCAGCTGTATAATCTTAACCTCTTGTCTGTCGATATATGAAACACAGTAGAAAAGAAACTACATTGTCTACACAAGTGAAGGAAGTTTAAATGTCAATAAAAAAAATTTTTTTTGAAAACTATTGAAAAAAATAGAAAAAATATCAATACACAAATAAAATTAACAATAAAAATTTTACAAAAAATCAGCAAAAAGAAACGCCCCCGGGTGGGCTCGAACCACCAACCTTTCGGTTAACAGCCGAACGCGCTAGCCAATTGCGCCACGGAGGCGATGGTGGGGAGTACGAAATATTCGGCCTATATCTACTCATAGTAAAACCGCACTATTGTATTATTCACCGCTGATTACTAATTATTTGTATTAGTTATAAGTGTACGAGTGCACCGAACATTAAAATTTTCTCACCTTTCCAGATTCGATTCTCGCTAAAATCGCTTCAGGTGTATCATCTCCAGTTGAAGCAAATGGTGTCCTTCCCGACAGCATTATATAAGCTAGCACACCTGTAATACATAAAAGGTCATATGTTAAAGTATATGTCCCTTACGAAAATGTTTTTTATTCCATTTTAATACGGTTCATTTTAACACAACAGCAAATTAAAGTAACAGAAATTTCATAACATTTGAACCTTGATAATTATGTTCCTAAAGTCTTAAACTTCATTTTTCACACGAAACTGGCATGCACATGCACTTCCATTAATTACTCTTTGATAACCTTGGAGTGTGGGTCACTACCAACTATTACTTTGTAGATAATTATGATAATGAGGTTAAACTTTGAACTAATTCCAAACACGAGATAATTAGTCATTGGTGTATACGAGGCAAATTGTAATGTAGATGAGCCACACAAGTAGAAAGTCTTAAGTAGTTTAAATGAGTCAAACAATTTATCACTCTAAAACAAAGGAATTAAGTTACATATTTGACCGTACCTAAACTCCATATATCACAAGCGGCATCATAACCAGCACGTTTTAGCACCTCGGGAGCAACGAAATTAGCAGTATAACATGGTGTCATAAGTAGGCCGTTTTCAGCGCGCAACTGTTTCGCCAAACCAAAGTCTACGAGACGAATGTCCTCAGGCCTCTTTTCTGCGGTCGCGAACAATATGTTCGAAGGTTTTATGTCTCTGGAAATTATAATATCACCATTAATAACTAACTTATAACGCCTTTGTCTGTGGTACTCAAATACTTTTTATGTTAAACTATATTAACAAGGTCGGTAGGTAAACTGAAAATTGTTGCATCTTATTATCCAATATGTTTACGTCAATATTCAATGGTTAAAGTATAATTTAGTAAAAATAAAACATTTACAGTTTAAAACTACTATCAGCCACTAAGAGATGGGCAGGCTAGAATGGTTTAATTGATGTTTTAGTGATCTAAGGACGATCACCAAACTTTCTATTATATTTATCACTGCCACACTTGGTAGGCTCAGCGTGAGTTTTATTGCAAACTATCTATATGAGGGATCCTTTTATTGACAGCAATGGACATTTGTAATGATGATAAATAAACTGGTCGTAAATCCCTTACCTATGCACAACAGTGTGCCTATGAAGATAGTGTATAGCGTGGAGGACATTCCTCAATATAGGTGCAGCCTCATGTTCGGGCAAGTAGCGACGTTGTGTGATGTGCTCGAGTAGTTCTCCACCGCGACAGAGCTCCGTCACTGCCAGGATCCGACCACCCTCCTCGTAGACACCGCGCAGAGTTATTATGTGCGGATGTTGGCTGTATCTGGATAATATAAAAAATATAAAACTTTGGAATTCATATCGATACGTATTGTTAGTTAGTCTAGGTTTATAACAAAGTATGCGGGGCTGCGGATAAATTTGGACTCCCCTGGTCCCACGCGCACGTGCGAGGAGACACTAGGGTAGTTTTAGCCGGTAAGAGTCCGGCACACCCCTCCGACTTTCCCAGGCGAAGGCAGTCCATGAGGATTTCCCCCCATTAAAAAAAGGTTTATAATAGAGATCGGAAAGCTTTTTGACAAACTTGAACAATTTAAATTGCGATCTCCAAACGCCAATTATGAAGACAAGCCTAAATGAATAACCTAATTCAATCCAATATCCGAGGATATAGATAGATTTTTTTAATTAGTTATTGTTACAACTAACAGAGACACCTTGTCTCTGTCAATTATTATAGGATTAAAATATAAGTACCTACCTATTATTGAAATCGGTCGTAAATCCTCTAATCTGGAGAACACACGTTGTCCAGCATTGGATTACTTGATGTGTGTGGGTAAGAGCAAAAGTGTAAAGTACAATTATACATTGCCATTCTACATTACACCAAAAAGTAAATTTTACAGCAGTCTAAACAGACAGAGCAGACAAGGTTTGTTGACCAACATAATTAGTTAAAACCTTTCCTACACGCTTAAGTGTGATAGAATCAGCAATAACAAAATTAATCGTTTACAAGTACGGAGGCATATTAACTCGTCGAGTACCGTATTTATAGACACAATTAAAGAACAATAGATCGCGGTCACCGGTGACCGCTTGGTGTTTGACAGTTTAATTGTCAATTATAACTAGTTTGCCTTCTAGTTATATACTAAACAATAGTATCAACATATAAAATTAATGCAAGTACGTTTCTTTATTGATTAGCGTTTGCACATTGACCTGATATTGCACAATTGTACGGCTTCCACGACCGCGAAGTTTGAGCCGTAGGTCATTAGATTATGTTTTATCGATAAAACATTTTATTGCATTGCGTTTATACGTAAAATCAAAGCCAATGTTTATTGACAAAAGGAGTTCTATGTCAGCAATTTTACAGTTTATTTTTCTTTAAGTAATTTTAGTTTTTATATTACGCGTGTGTATAGGTCAATCAGTGGATTGAAATATCAGCTGGTTACGTGTTAGCTAATTGCTATTTACGTACTGCAAATCAATGCATAAAATTATATTTCTAGTTATTTAATACAATACTGAACGATATCAACAAAATTACTGACTATGATTGGATTGGATTGGATGTGAGAAGCCGAAGATCGCCCTCTGTGGCGTGAACTGGCGTGCTATAGAAACGTTAAAAAACGGGCTAATCTAATAAAAAATCATGTTTTTTGCACAAACCTTAACAGTATCTCAATTTCTTCACGAGGATCATACTGCAATTTGTCCATAATCTTGACAGCATACTGCACCCTTGAGGTTTTGTGTTCACAGAGGCGAACGACTGAAAACGATCCTGTACCTAACTCTCCCATTAATCTGAAACATACCAAGTTATTTTCCTTTACGAAAAGGTTTTCATTATAATTTTCATTTAACTCAGTATTATGGGGTATTGCCCAGTTTCCAATAGCTCTTAGTAGTAACACTGAGTCGGGAATTGTGCCTTATGTATAGATTATTTTGATGCTAAGCTTACATTACAATAATGCTACAATATAATCTATACATTTAGAACGAGGTTTCATTTCGAGTGTCGTCAGAAGATATTGAATATGGTAGGTATATTTAGGTGTAGGTCATAGCCGGCATTAATTAGATCAGTCTTACATATAAGTATGTACAATTGGATATTTAATCACCATACCTTATTAGTACTTATATTTATAACATTAGTTTTTCCTGTTCGATTAATTATGTTAGTTAATCCACCTACCTGTATTCGTCGAAGAAATTATTCCTATTGACGAAACCAGCCCAAAATTCTTCAGTGGACGTTTTATTATTCGTAGGAACATGGTTTTGATTTTGGTTCGTAACCGTCTTGTTATCATCGTTGAGTAAACAAGGGGCGACGAAACTGAAACCGCTGAAACCATACACAAAAATACACATAAACGATTTTATTGTATTTGTTTTGTGCGAAGGTTAAATGACAAGTGCGTTTATCTTATCATTAAACAATCGGATGTGATAAATTACCTGTATTACCTTATTTATGCAATTGAGTGTCGTAAAAATGACTATGCATAATGTATTAGACACATTACTACTATGGAACAGAACGGAAATATATAATAATAATAAACTTTATTGATGATAAAATGAGCAAAATACAAAATGTTATCTTAATAAGCGATGTAGACCTTATACAGTTAGATGCCTGTACTAGGAAAGCCCTGTATCACAGGCGAAAGTAGCTTTAATATTGTATACTAATTTAGGACATCTTATTTCTATAAACCAATATTACTTATCATGACTTAGCAAATTCAACTATGATTATTTTATATATATATATATATATATTATATAAATACATTCACATATTAAATACATTCATTATATTATAATAATACCTACATAATTATGACAAATTATTTAGAACTAATACATAATATGACTACAGCTGTGGAATTACATACATCGGCAGAAACTTAAATAAAACTAGGTTACTAAGTACATATGGTCATTCACTTCACTCGTGTTATGATAAAGAATTAAATTTTTTTGCTTGTACAGCAACAAAGTTCCCGTCGGCTAACTGGATACGTTGCGCAATTATTGTGCAAAGGAAGGTGAATCAACACCTAACTCTGACGTACAACAATATGCGTACTATGCACCTTCATAGTCTATTGAGTTGATGAATCTGTACTCCGCTATCTTCCTAGCAGGGCACTCAGCATCACCCGTTTTATGCTTATTTGGCTTGCTATAGCGGGTACAAGTTGCACACTTAGGAGACTCCGTTGTTTTCTTGCACTCAGATAATGCGTGTCCTACTTCTCCACAATGACCACACGATAAAAAGGGCTCTCGACAGGTTTTTGCTGCGTGACCGTATTGCTGGCATTTATAGCATCTGGTAACGAGCGTAAAATCTCTGACAGGGCACGAAGTCCAATTGATGTAAAGTCTTTCCTGAGAAATAAGAGCTTTGCGTATCTTGCCAGAGACTTGTATGATATAATTGCAGGCCGGTGCGTCCTTTCTTCCGGATTTATGGCTTAACTTTATATCTTTCAGAAAGGATTCCATTGTTTATAGCAGCATTGGCTTTATAGCAGCATTTTATATTTAGTTCTGGGGCAGTATTTATACTCAAGCTTTTTCATATATTTGTAAACTTCGGAAAGACCGTAGAGATATATAAAAATAATAAATACATACATAGTTGGAATATAGGTAATAACCTTTAGAAACAACCACTTTTCAAATGGTACGGTATTAATAAATAGATATAGATCAAGCTATATTTACCGACAAAACCGATCTTACCCTCCTTAGCCTTAGTGGAGTTGATCTTTAGAACTCATTGTTTTACTTAAGCAAAACTATGTGCTTGAGTAAATAAAGAATTAAATACATAATTAACAAAGAATAGTCATTTATTATCTTACCGGAATAGTTCATGTGCATTCGCGGAAGCCGGAACACCGGGTGAGTCTCGGGGCGTGCGACATGTAAACTCTGAGTCAAAGTAGAATGCGTCATCGGCCCTAGATACTGCCGGCCTAAATGGGGGCACCACCTATAGAAGTGATTTTCATTTCAATAACAAAGAAATCGATAAATACCGCTGAATGTAAGTCATGATGACTATTATTGGTAGAGTTAGAAATAGCAACTTCTGATAAAAGGGTTGGACTTCAGGGTACGGCAAATATGGATATAACTGACTTTGGATGGAACTTCTTGAATTTATCAGTAAAAAAACACAGAATCAGATTATGCAGTCAGTGTGTAGCAATTGGCGTGTCATTGCCTCTCACCCCATGTGAGAATGTATGGCAACAAGTCTCCTTTTGCATGGGACTTATCGATGATCATCATACAATGATAAATCTTTAGATTTCACGAGACCGACAAATAAAATAAGTAATAAAATTTTTAATAAGTAGCAAGACAACGTCAAAACTGGCGCCGCAATTACTAAAAATATATACTTAGTGAAAAGTGGGTGTAGATAGTTTGTAAATAGACGTGTTTGGTAAATAATACTTTGGAACCGTCATATGTACATATCTATATTAGGTAGGTATATCTATCTATCTATTTTTATTATCGCGTGGACCGTTTTTTAATTAATTTGGCCTGTGGAGTGTGGCCGTAACCCGCTCATCAATCACAATCGCTTTCATAACGTCAATTCCACAGTACGCTTTGGGTTAACCACCGGTACATTAATTTTGCGCGCTGTGAGATCGAGACACGTTAATTTAGAGCGAACTGTATGTCTGTATATGCTCCCCTAGTAATGTCGTTCCTTTTAATCCATTAAGGAGTAGGTAGAAGTGCAACTAAGCTATTCTGTAACTTTCAATTCGAAAGATTGAAAAGTGAACTCAATCGCGATCCGCAATGTTTCTTTTTATCTTTGATGGTCCTTAGTTTGACTACTATCTCGTCTAATTGGAAGCGATGATGCGGTCTCTAATGGAGCACGCCGTCCCATAAGCACCTTTTTCACTCGGGCCTTGAAGACACCCAGATTATACCCTTATGTCATTGGTTGTGAGAATGATCTTGACTAATGAGCAAGAATGCGATTGACCTCACTTCAAAAGGTCGAGAAGAGCCTAACGATTTCCAATGTACAGGAGGCCATACACGCTAGGTTTTGCATGATGGTTTTAACCATGCATGCATAACCGACAGGCAAGACCTAGCGTGTATGTGACTAAACTAAACAGTTATCGGTGCATTTACATGCAAAACCTAACGTATGTGTGGTATGAAACTCGGTTATGCTTGTCGGTTTTGATTGCAAAGTTATAACCATCATGCAAAACCTAGCCTGTATGGCCTCCTTACCACACACTTTTCACCAGTTATATTATGAGTTCCATGTTCGTAATAATAATATTTTTTTGATAATACATAGTGTCTCTTTCAGGTACTCTCTCCATATCGGTAAATTCGAATTTATTAGATACAAAAAAGCAGACTGATTTAGATTAGAAAATAATTGCATGAATCTAGGAAAATAGCAATCAAGCACGCGAAGTGTCGTTTTGCAAACTAAAATAGAATAGGTAGGTACGCAATTAAAAACATTTAAAATGGTTTCACATAAAAAATACGAAGGAAAACGTCGACCGCGACATCGAGGCGGATAAATATAATCGGCGATGCAGACAAAGGTTAATAATTCTAAATCTTTGATTACTAAACGGATTAGATATGTCAATTTGCCATCTTTTTAATTTGTTTGATATTTCCTTAACTTATTCAGAAGACAACTTATACCTACAAGAATACATTTAACACAAATTCTTCTATTCTTGTATACATAAAGTTAGATAGAGAGTTTTTTATTTTAACGCGCTAATCTTGGGAACTACAGTCCGCTTTTGAAATCATCTTTTTGTGTTGAAAAGTCCATATCACGGAAGGCTATAGGATAGGCTATAAAACATTACGTGAGTAGCTAGCAAAAGATATAAAAAGCAATGTTACATATTTTTCGAGTAAAACATAACGTACCTCTTTCTATACAAAGCATCCCAATCTATACTTGCAAAGAACTCATGACTCTTTATATCTTCAATGCCATTAGCACCGGCTCCCAATCTAGAAAAAAAAACACAAATGTCAGACGAAACTAGTCTCTGATACCAACAGTTTATAAATAGTTGAAATACCTATGTATAAGCTTACCTGTTCTGCGGGTTTCTTTTGAATAAAGCTCTCAAAAGAGACTGCGCCTCTTCACTAAGGTTAGAGGGCATTCCAAGTTTCGCTTTTAATATCTGTGTCATAGTTTCATGTCGTGTCGAGCCATGGAAAGGTAGGTTACCTGTCAGCATCTCAAACTGGAAGAAAATGTGTTGTAAAGACCTTGGAACTGCTTTAATTAGTTATCAATTGAATTATCAATCAGATATTCTTCACAACATACCATAAGTACACCGAAGGACCACCAATCTGCTGCAAATGTGTGTCCTCTCCTGTTAACCACCTCTGGAGCCATGTATTCCACAGTACCACAAAAGCTATAGGCTTTATCACTAGTTGGAGGGAGTTTTGATAACCCAAAGTCTGTAAGTGCTATATGGCCATCAGCATCTAATAAAATGTTTTCTGGTTTCAGATCCCTGTATATTATTCCCAACTTGTGTACATGTTCTAAAGCTAATGCTAGTTCAGCTAGGTAAAATTTAACATCCTCCTCAGTAAACATTACCTAGAAGTAAATAAAATGTGCAGTGAGCTAAATTCATTACATCCATTATGGCATCACAGAATGCTGTCTCTGAATTTATGTATAACTTCCATATAAATATTCATGGACCATTACAGCTATTAGAACTCACCTCTTTACTGAGTCGTGAAAACAAATCTCCACCACGCAGGAAGTCGAGTATTAAATATAATTTTCCAGCTGTTTGAAAAGCGTAATGCAACTTAACAATAAATGGATGGCCCATTTCAACTAGAATATTTCTCTCCATTTTTGTACGTTCTCTGTCTCTTACTTTTAATGTAGCTTTTTTAAGTACCTAAAACACAATATTATAATTTTACAAGTTTGTTAGTCTTATGAGTAAATAAATATTAAACAGGTAGTGTGTATATTACCTTCATGGCATATAGAGTTCCAGCATCAGCACCAGTGACTTTTCGTACTAAAAATACTTTTCCGAAGGAACCTTCACCAAGAACTTTGAGCAATTCAAATTGTGATGGGTCTGCCTTATCATGTCCTTCTTTAACTACATCTTGTATTTCTACCTCCCTTTCTTCACTAATGTCTACATTTGTATCTAAGCTCTCAGTTGTAGATGCCTGACGAGACTCGGCTGAGTTTTCAACCACAATTGGAAGACTATTGGCTGGCTGAGCAGATGTACCAAGCTAAAACATAGTTAAGAGGATTACAATGCATAGACATTGATAAAATTTACGCTGACACACACTGCACACACATCGCACCTTTACTGTTGAATAATATTAGGAACATGCAAAATTATGTAAACAAGATATTCATAAGATTATAAATGGCAAAACATCAATATAGATTACAATCCAATAAGAATAAATATTCTTTTAATAGTTCCACATTTAAATAATGTGTTCCAAGTCAAACTATAAATCAAATTGTTTAGTATCTTGACACAATATTTACATTATATTTATTATACCACAACAAACTTTTAGTTCTATATATACCTGTTTCATTTTGGATATTTTTATTAACAAATTCATTAGAAAATTTAATTAAAAACAACTATTTCATTGGGAATTCACACTAGAATCAACACTTCACACAATATTAAATATTCTACAACAGAGTACATCTTGATTCTTTGAACCGTAACTCGTAATTAATTATTAAAATAAATGAATCATGGATATTCACAAACACTATACATTGTATCATATCACTTTTCCTTGTAAGGTGGTTTGGCACTAACATGATTTTATATTTTCCTGAAGTGATTTTTAGTAGAAATATTAGAACTGATTCCCATATTAATACTCAATTAACGGAATGTCTAGACAATTAATGTCGTGCAATTAATTCCTGAGTAAGTGGGCGTAATAAGCAGATTATCTCAAGAAAATCGTAAGTTCGTGATATTTTCGTCCGTGACCCTGTTTGAATCATGAGAATACGTAAAAAGTAGACGTGATGATTAGAAAATAACATGAAACATAATTAGCTACGCAAACAAACTCCAAATATACCGTGTTATCTCCAACATTCTGCATTCGCCAAGGATCTGAGGTGTTAGCCAAAGGCATGTTTTACCACTTATGCACTTGAACATCCAACGTAAAATACTGTAATTATCTATGAAAACGATTAGGACTATATAAATTTAAATTCCATTTCTCATTCATCAACCACAAATATCGCAAATTTTTCGAACAACCATTGACAGCAGCCAGACGTGATGATATGAAAAATATGACAAGATCGTTTATGGTAACACAGCCCGAGTTCCGTACAAGATTTCTAAACTCGTTTAATTTCTATTATAGATATTTATCTACTTCAGCTTTTGATCCAAATAGAAAATAAGGCGATATATTTTCTGTCTTATAACTATTTACCATAATATCATTAGTAGTTGTAGATATTTTGTATTAAACAGTTTTAACGACTAACAAAATATTTCAAAAACGGTTTTCTGCTAACTTTCTTGCGGAACCCTAAAAATAGTGAACACAGATTAGATGAGCGTTCCAGATACAGCACAACAGTATTTTAGGCATTAATTGTCGATGATATTCTCGACATTGTAACTGAAACTAATGTACGTACATACTTAAATTTAAATTACAATGATAATCGTGTCTTTACTCTGTAGCCGGTATTACAAATTAATAGTACTCGGTAATTTGTCGGTATCTGTACCATGCGACCATCTTATACGTCTGTGGACCATTCGTCGGAGTTGTACGAGGGATACAGGGCGGCCAAGGCCCTCCTCAAGGTGGAGATATTGCGGGCCAAGGAGGAGGCCCGCCGAGAGATGCTGGGGACTCTGGACAGAGATCCGTGGGGACGCCCGTACCGATGGTACGCGACAAGCTCCGCGCCTGGGCTCCCCCGCTCACCAGAGTCTCCGGCAGAAGTCTTGGAGGAGGTGATTGGCACCCTGTTCCCTCGACTGTGGAGGGGGTTCACCCCTCCGTATATGACTCCGCCCCCTGCGGTGCCCGACGCGGGCTACAGCGACGACGACGACGACATCGTCCCAGAGGTGACCGAGGCAGAATTGAGAGCGGCGGTGCGCCGGATGGGCGCCAAGAACACCGCCCCGGACCCGACGGCCTGCATGGCAAGGCATGGGTCCTGGCCTCAGAGGCTCTCGGGCCTCGATTGATTGGTCTCTACAGCGCATGTCTGGAGAGAGGCCAGTTCCCGCTTCTCTGGAAAGCGGGAAAACTGGTCCTCGTGCGGAAGACGGGGCGCCCTGCGGACTCTCCGTCCGCGTACCGGCCCATAGTGTTGCTCGACGAGGTGGGGAAAGTCTTCGAAAGAATCATTTCGAACCGCCTCGTCGCGCACCTGACGGACATTGGGCCGGACTTGTCGGACGGCCAGTTCGGCTTCCGCAGAGGGCGCTCCACGGTGGACGCCATCATGCGCGTTAGAGACCTCACGACGGGGACTGCAGTGTCCAGGGGTAAGGTCGTAGTGGCGGTGTCTCTGGACATCGCCAACGCCTTCAACTCCCTGCCCTGGAGCTGCATCTTGGAGGCACTCCGATATCATCGGGTGCCTACCTACCTCCGTCGTGTAATCGAGGCTTACCTGACGGACAGGTCCGTCAGCTACCCCGGTCACCGGGGCGAGTGGAACCGGCGAGAGATGTCACGCGGTGTTCCACAGGGTTCGGTTCTGGGGCCGCTCCTGTGGAACATCGGCTATGACTGGGTGCTGCGCACCGACCTCCCGAACGGCGTTAGCACTATATGCTACGCCGACGATACGCTGGTGCTGGCGCACGGGAGGTCACACCAGGCGGCGGCCGACTTAATGGCGACAGCGGTTGCGACAGTCGTTGAGAGAATCCGGCAGTTGGGACTCGAGGTGGCGCTCCACAAGTCCGAGGCCATGTGTTTTCATGGCCGCGGGAACGCGCCACCTCCGGGTGGGTCCCAAATAACGGCGGGAGGAGTTACCATCGGCGTCGAGACGACGATGAAGTACCTAGGACTCGTCCTCGACAGTCGGTGGAACTTCATAGAACACTTCCGACGTTTGGCTCCAAAGTTGGAGAGGACGGGGGCTGCGTTTAAACGCATCCTCCCCAACCTCGGGGGGCCAAACGCCTCCTGCCGGAGGTTATACACCGGGGTCGTGCGGTCCATGGCCCTCTACGGCGCCCCTGTTTGGGCGCCTAACCTGTTGCGGCATCCCGCTCGGACGCTGCTCATGGCACAGAGGGTCATGGCGATCCGAATGATCCGCGGATACCGCACGATCTCTGGGGAGTCGGCGAACCTCCTTGCCGGATTACCGCCGTGGGATCTGGAGGCGAAGGTGCTCGCGCGCGTGCACAGCATGCGCGCGGAGGCACGTCGCCGGGGCGAAACTCCGCTGCCGCGCCAGATAAGTGCGTGGCGGGATGAGCTCCGGCGCGATCTCATGGCGGAATGGCAGCAACGACTGTCGCAACCGAGGGCTGGGCTCGGCCATTGCAGCGGTAAGTCCCCTCTTTGAGGAGTGGCTTGAGAGACGCTACGGCGTCCTCACCTACCGCCTGACGCAGGTCCTCACCGGACATGGCAGTTTCGGGAGGTACCTGTGTCTGATGGGGCGGGAGGAAACGCCCGGGGTCATCACTGCGAGGACCGCCCTGAGGACACGGTGGAACACACGGTGGGAGAATGCCCTTCGTGGGCTGAGCACCGCCGTGTCCTTAGGGAAGTGATCGGCGATGGCGACCTCTCGCGTCCGGGCCTAGTGCAGGCCATGATGCGGAGCGAGGGGGATTGGGATGCCGTCTCCTCCTTTTGCGAAGCAGTCATGCTAGCTAAGGAGGAGGCGGGACGCGTGAGGCAGCGAAGCGCTGCCTCCTCGCAACCCAGCCATCGCGAAGGACACACCGGGCGTCGGGGATCGCGGGACGATCTCCGGCCACCGTAAGCGCGGGCCTGCGGACGGCGAGCATGGGTGGCTCCCCGTCCGACCAGAAACAGACCCGAGCGTACGGCGCGTCGCGTTCCGCGCGCGCCTCAAAGAGCCATCAGACCACCACAGATGGGGTCCAATAGGGCCGATGCCGATTCGGAGTCGCGGAGAACCTAACGGGTAACCGGGGCTCCGGCTCGACGTGCAGGAGAAGGAACGGGGTGGTTTTTAGTCAGTAAGAGTCTGACACTCCCTCCCGCCTCACCCAGGCGGGGGCAGTCATTCGATGATTTTCCCCCCTTAAAAAAAAAAAAAAAAAAAAACGTCTTTGTTTGTTTACGACTTTCCGAACAAAAGTGGCATGAAAACTAAGAAAATTAAATGAATTTCGGAAAACTTTTGGTCTTATGGACATAGGTATCTTTCTCTTCTATTCTATCTGTACACTATTACCAGATGATAATATCGTAACATCGCACAAGAGCGCATTTGAAAAAATCAAAAAGGAGGTCTTATTGAAAACTAGAAATATATTTTATTAGGTACTTACTTTATTATCCTAAACAATTCGTTAAAACCCTACCCAGTACTTCCATCTTCCATGGAGCAGAAATCTGTTGGTTAGAGTTAGTTTAGAGTTGTTGACTGTACCTGTACTCTGTACCCCCAATTAAATCTAAAAAGTCCAATTCTCAGTGGGAGGGTCTACGGTTCTTGTACGGTAAGTCAATTTTTATCGACGTAGGGTTGAATCGGGTTGATACCAAGGAGTAGTAATAAGTATAGGGGGTTGATACCACGTTGATGCAAAGAGTAACCCCTATACTTATTATACTCTTTGGCAAAGAGTTCGATCATTGACAACGAAATGTCATTTTCTAATTTTCACAGAAAAGTGTTTGAGTTTTAGTTTTTTCGTAACTTGAATTATTATCAATATAAATAGTAAAAAACGAATTATTTTTGTTATGATTTACAGAGATTTGTATAAAGACGAGCATACTGTCGACATGTTTAGCTATGGCACTGTAAATGATACTAATAGTAAATGCCTTCAGATTGGGCCCATTTGGAAAGGCTTCAGGAGTAAGTACCAAATGACAGGTACACGTTAGTAGTAGGTAGTTTACTTATCTACCAAAACAAAAAATGTTTATTTAATACTAATTTCTGCCCGCGACTTAGTGCACGTACAAATAGGTGATTCCCGTGTTTCACGAACCCGTGAGAATTTAGGAAAATCCTCTCTTAGTGCTCCCTTATACTGTCCAAAGAACATTCATGTCCAGTAAGTAGTTTCGGCTGTGCGTTCTCTGTCTGCCAGTCAGTTAGTAACTCAGTAACAAAAGATGTTTTTAGACGGAATATTTATTTATCCAACTTTATATATACTTAAATCACAATTTGTAAGTCTGGTACCTTCCTAATACATTTCAGAACCTCTGGCAATGATAACTCAATCTGTACAAAAAAACGAGGATGTTACGAGTTCCATAATCGGTGACTTCGGAAGATGGCAACTGAAAATCAGTATATTAATGGCGCTCTTAAAATTACCTATAGCTTGGTATCAATTAAACATAATATTTATGGCGCCACCTCAAAATTTCTGGTGCTCCAAACCACTGCCTTTTTCTAAATATAGTGATGAAGAATGGAGAAGACTCAGTGTGCCAGTAAGTCATTTTTAAAAGAGAAAAAGACCGACTTTTGATTATGTAGGTAGGTCATTGACGACGCGTCAGGAGCGCATTGCCGACCATTCGCGCCATTGATTTTGGGGAATTGCCTGTACCGATAATGAAGGTGCATTTAAATTATGAGGAGGTAAGTACCTAGGTACTTTCTCCCAGTTGAGTGGGTACATTAAAGGTGGGCAGATAACATAGATCTAATATGTCTGTGGCAGATTTTTCGATGATGTAATAATTGGCAAGAAAAAATATAGGTGGTTTTTAGTCAGTAGTCAGTTTTTTTAAGGGGGAAAAATACGCGCCCCTCCCTCTCCTTAGCTAGCATGACTGCTTCGCAAAAAGAGGAGACCCGCACTAGGGCCGGATGCGAGAGGTCGCCATCGCCGATCATATCCCTAAGAGCAAGGCGGTGCTCAACCCACGCAGGGCATTCCGCTACGTGCCGAAACTTCCAAGCCCAGTGAGGACCTGCGTCAGGCGGTAGGTGAGGACGCCATAGGGTCTCTCAAGCCACTCCTCAAAGAGGGGACTTACCGCTGTAATGGCAGCGAGCCAGAAGTACATACATTTACATACCTATTAGAATAGATATGCGGGATAAACTATTGTTTCTGTTTCAGCATGTAGAAGAACACCCTTGTTTAATATTTGATCCAGACTTATTAGCAATTGATCCATTTATGGATAAAACTCTGATACCTCTAGTACCTTGTAAAAAATTTGTATATGATACAAGTGTGTTTAAACGTACCATAACATCTGATTGGAATTTGGTGTGCTCAAAACACTGGCTTACTCATGTAAGTAATAGGTACTGACGTACGTAGCGTACCTACCTAATACAATGGATAGTACAGAATTACGGTGTATTTCGAAACCTGCTTGTCCATATTTTTGAAATATAAAAATGTCTTTCCAGATGTGTCAATGCGTGATGATGTGGGGTATTGTGTTAGGAGGTATAGTATTCGGGATTTGGGCTGACAAATACGGTCGACAATTGCCTCTTATGATCGGAATAGTAATACAGGGTGTCAGTAGTTCTATTGCCAGTATAATGCCATGGTACTCAATATTTCTGATCAACTGGTTTATTTTAGCGTTAGCATCTGGTGGTGTCGGAATTATATCTTTTGTTATAAGTATGGAGGTGAATATTATTCTAATTTTACATTTACATGCATGTTTCACAATCACGCCTATGTCCCAAAAACGTAGTTAGAAATTGGCATCTTCTTTAGTTTCTGTTACATTCATGCATGCATCTATTAATAGAAGAATATTTTTTTGGAAATTTTAGGTAGTAAGTGGCAAGTGGCGAACTATAATACCAGTGATTTATCAATTGCCTTTTGGTATTGGAAATGCAATAATGGCAGGTCTAGCTTACTGGCTGAGAGACTGGAGGAAACTTGAATTCGCATTGGGAGCACTTTCCTCATTATTCATATTCTACTGGTTTTGGGTCCCAGAATCTCCAAGGTGGTTGTTGGCAACAGGTCAAACAGAAAAAGCTGCCGGTAATGTGATTGTAATTCGTTGATTTTGACTTATATAACTTGCATAGTTGATGCGATGCCTACTTAGGTACCTAACTGTCTAAGCAAGATAATGTAATAGAAAATAATGCTTTTATAAATAACCGAATTTCACTTTGGTAGCCCCAGGTACCTATTACTTACTTATAATCTTAAACCATTATTTTTTCTAGTAATTTTAAAGAAGATCACTAGAGAAAACAAAATGCAAGTCAGTTCAAAATATATTAAAAGACTCATAAATGAGCATCAGCCACGAACGCAACAGGATCCAGGATTTTTAGCTTTTTTGACATCCAAGAGGATGAGACTCAAAACTGTCTTACTTTCAATGAATTGGTAATGGTTAATTGGTTTTTCTAGTTTTATGGTACCGATTCATTTTCGATATTCTTATTCAAGTCAGGTAGGTATGCTCCTTGAAGAAATAAATTGGCTTATCGATGTGATGATGGTCTGGCTCTTGTCACTTTGATTCGCTTATTTACATATATAAGTATTGTGTCCGTAATAGTAGTGCTCCAAAGCTATTTATAAATAATCGAACATATTTATCTAAAAGCTATGTCTGTTGTGTAGAGAGTAATAATGCAAAGTGATTAAGGATGCCTAAAGAAGTCTTAATCCTTACCTACTAATATTATAAATCGGAAAGTGAGTTTGTTTGTTTGTTCCGCTTTCACGCCGTAACTACTAAACCGATTGCTTTGAATTTTTGCAGACGTAAAGTTAGAAGTCCGGATTAAATAATAGGGTTTTTCCTTTTATCCCGGAAAAATTGATATTCCCGAGGGAAAACAAAAGTATTGGTATAGATGGTGCTGTATGTTTTGGTATATGTCACATAGGCTACTTTTTATCCTTTCGTGACGCGAGCGAAGCCGCGGGTAAAAGCTAGTAATACTTATATCTAAGAACTTATTTCGCTTGCAGGTTTTGTACGGGTTTAGCTTTTTACACTTTTTCACAATATTTGGGTTCCATAGGAGGAAATATTTTTATCGCAGTCTCGGTTACTGGAATCATTTCAACAATTGGAGGAGTGACATGCATTTTCATAATAACCCGAGTCGGAAGAAAGACGACTGTTGGAATATACCAGATAGTTACAGCCTCATGCTTCGTATTTATATTGTTGATGCCAAGAGGCAGTTATGCAAACGACTGGCCGAGGCTATTGTTCGCGGGAATAGGTTTTGCAGGAATGGCGGTAAGGCAACCATGTGCGAAATTAAATTGTACCTACGATCTGTTGATCACTGGCACAAGTTAACCTACGCAGGTAGGCAGAGGCACCCACCACCCCCAAGTATAAAGGTTGCTCGTTCTTAATATAAAACCCCCCATGAATGAGCAAATTTCTAGATTTGTATTCAAAGACGGATTCTGATCAATTTTGAATCACCACGTGTAATCTGATCAATATCTACCTAGTTATTTAAGAAAATGAATGGCCCATTTATAATTCCAGGGCACTATACCAGCGCTATATTTGTTTTCTGGAGAGTTGTTCCCAACACTGGGAAGGAACGTTGGAGTTAGTGGAGTGACGACATTTGCTCGCATCGCGTCTATGGTTGCACCTGCAGTGGTTACCTTGGAAAGTCTCTTAGTAGATCTTCCCCTTATCATATTAACTATCATTTCTTTCGCACAAATATTAATGGTGCTACCCTTACCTGAAACTAAAGATGCTCCATTGCCTGACACTTTAGAGCAAGCAGAACAATTTTGATTAGGGTAGCAAACAAAATTTTATTTCTAGTTAGACTAACAAAGTGGCATGCGACTTAGAACTTAATTCATTTTTATAAGTAGGTAGCATACCATATAAATGGACGGTAGACTAATGGTAGGTAATGGACTACGATAATAGGAACTTGCTTATTAGCTCAATATTGTAATCGAAAAATGGAAAATAAAAATCTAACAATATTAAAACTATTTTATTTATCTTTAATTTTGATTGAGGATCGAGGTCAATCGAGGTGGTACCATCATTACCCACAAGCTACAATCTATCGGGTGCTAACAGAGACAGTAGACATCTTAATCAAGTTTCATTATTAACTTTATAATAAGGGAACTATCAGATCTCATGTTGCATTCGCTTCTTATATATCCGATAATGCCTAACACCGACACTTATTGTACTCTTCTCCTAACACGTGCATGTCGTACATACATACACTACACACTAGGTACACCGCGCACCGCCATACCGCGACGTGCTGTCAAAGCAGCGCGTTGGACTACCTACCTAAAGACGCAGGTCGCTGCGGTGCGCGGTGTCCTGGTGTTTAGTGTACAGGAACTAAGGAACTGTGTAGTAAAACAATATAAGTTATACATTACTGTTGTTTATTGCTTTAAAATGGATATTAAAAAAGTTTCACATTTTATACCTATCTGCCCCAAATGGGTATTACATTTGTACCTACTAATAGGTAGGTATCCCACAAAATAGACATCGAGTATAGTATAATTAAATTGCTATTGGTAGTAGTAGAGAGATATATTAATTACTAAATAAATGCTGCTGCCAACAACTTATGCATGTTAACTTTCAAGTTATACCAAATACATGCCACAGCTGAATAAAGTGTAAGTGTAGTCACAACTTGACGTATGATAGGATTGTGCAGAACTGTATTGAGAATATAATAGATTATCATAATATGGATTACACAATTTTATAAAACAATGCCAAATCCAACTAATTTGCATTAAGGCTGTTAAGAAAAATATAAAGACTGGACTAGAATATACTACAAAATGCAATTCATAATTACACAGAAGTATATTTTACTTGTACTGTTAAAAATGTATTGACATTATAAAATTGTACATTCTAATTAATACAACTTAAAATATATTAATCCTTCTTTTCATTTGTAATTTGGTTTCTTATGTTTTCAATCCTATGTAACAAAGTCGGATGTGAGTGATACCATGCTGAATACAATTTGTCATAAATTGGATAGTCCAAATTGTCTTTGCCCAGCTTTATAAGAGCAGATCTTAACTCATTGGAATATGATAAAGAAACAGCAAAGTTATCAGCTTCAAATTCAAATTTCCTGGAGAGAGCTGTGGCGAAGAAAGATAACACGGAATTGTATGGGGCAAGGATCATCTGTAAGACCACAATCAGACCAATAATGATTGGCTCTTGACCAGCAGGGAAACCAAGGGATGTATACAACATTGAATACTTGAAAAGGAATCCAAAGGCAGTGAACAAAAGAAGCAAATTAACTTCAGTGAGAGCAATAGACTTATAAATGTGACTGCAACTCCAGTGACCAAGCTCATGAGCTAAAACTCCTAGAATTTCATTTTCTGTGCACCCTGTAGTTACTTTCTTTTCTTCGTCAAACTTCTCCAATAAGGTATCAAATAAGACTATCCTCTTGTTACCAAACAGACCACTAAAGTAAGCGTTACTATGTGCTGACCTCTTGGATCCTTCAACAATGTATATTTGAGACAGAGGAAAATGAAGTCTTGAGGCTAAACCTTCTATACCCTTCCTTAAAGAGCCATCAGGTAATGGTACAAACTTATCAAATAGAGGAGCAATAACAGATGGGTATATTGTCAGCAGCAACAATGTCGCTACGGTGGTGAACATCCACAACCATACCACAAACATGTTTCCTCCAAGCATTATAATATAGATAGCAATGGATATAATGGGGAGGGTGATGACAAAGTTCAGTAACAAAGATTTTAACTGATCTTTTATAAAGAAGCCTGCAGTCTGCTTGTTGAAACCATGTTTTTGTTCTAATACAAAGGTACCATAAATAGTGAATGGCATGTTGACAACAAAATTGAACAATGTAACAAATATCATAAACACACAACTGACTAGAATCTCTCTCTCAGGAGTAATGTGGAAATAAGCAGCAATATCTTCAGATTGCTGCCATGCCACATAAATCCACCTTTTGTATAACACCACTGATGTTAATACTATACTGTATAATTCTTTCACTATTTTAAATCGAGATTTGTCTATACCATAAAGACGAGCTTTCTTGAAAGATTCTTCATTTAGCATTTCCTTCAAGTCATTTGGTATGGTGTTGTTAGTCTTGTATATTTTCAACTGCAAAAAAAGATAATAGAATTGTTAGAATTATATGTTTGACCTTTCCTTGATGTAGAGAAACATGTTAAAGATAAAGAGATCAGACTGTAGCAAAGGGTGTGCAAGGGATTTGGGACTTAGAAACATTTTTCATCAAAATATTTTACCAGGAGGCATGCAAATATTTTAACAAAGTATTTAAGAATAAAAGTTAAAATATCAAATTCAATTTATACAAAAGAAAATTAATATAATGTCAACATTATATTTGATTCTCGGTGCATTAACGATTACATGGCGTCGAGTTGACATCTTTGTAGATATGGTATACGTTTTAGCTTATCACCCAAGAACCAATTAAGTATGCGAAGTTTGACGAATAATTATACAATAAATATAATTTATATTTGTATACCTTATGGCAATAAGGTAATAAAGATATTGTAATGATAAATACCAAGAGAAGTTCAGTAAATATACTACTAAACACCGCACAAGATAACATGATATTGGAACCATTGTAATTACCTGCCGCAGAGACAAATACAGCTCCCACAAACATTCTCCCCATGAGAATAGTAGAATCAAAAAGACAATCAAATCTTCATCGAATTTCATTTTCTTTGTAATATGATTCTGATACAAAAAAAAGTCGAAATATCCAGCCGCAGCCGAACCAACCGGACACAATTTGTGAATTTGACAGAATATAGTTTTTAAGACGAATTTGACATTAATTTGTCATTGTGTGAACTTTTTTATACAGGTAATCAGTTTATAAATCTTGGATATTGAGACGTTTAGTATAAAATTAAAAAAAAACATTACCTAAACCAAATAAATTCCACTAATTTATAAACACAAATGAACACTAGAGTCCAAAACAAGCATTGTTTAAATTAATAAGAACACGATATAACCTAATAAATGAATTCTAAAGTATAAAATAAACTCACTAAGTGTGTTGTTAATGTTTACAAGATATTTCAATTATGTTTTCGATATCCTGCTGTTAAATCTTGCTCTGGTTCTACCCCATCCCCTAAGGCACTGTTTGCTTTGATACATATAAAAGAGAAACCGCGCTGTGTTATACTCATTACAACTTCAGACACGGCTTAAGATTACCAACAAAACCAAAAATAAAACATTATGTCACCAACCGTTTCTAAGATTTTATTTATTTATGGAATTCAATTATTGTGTTTAGTAGTTTTACAATGTGCTGCAGAAGAGGCTTGTGAAACTATTCCAACTGAAATACACGTTACTAAAGGTATGGTTGTAGAATTACTATAAATAATAATAATTAATAGTGACCCTACATTTACTTATCAGAAATATTAATTGGTTTCAGAGGAATATGACGATATGGGAAGATTAGTGCGATCGTGCAGTGGAGAGGTCAGTGTCAATAAGTGTGAGGGTATGTGCAGTAGTCAAGTTCGACCATCAATTTCTGCTCAAACAGGATTTTCTAAGGTACACTTTTTCTTTCAAAATAAATTTTGTATATTATATATCCTTCTATTACATGGGATCTCACCCCCTATTATGTGGAACTTATAATATAAATAATAAAAAGTAGGTGTTACATTGTATAGTAGCATTAAGTGCTGTGATGTGCACCTCTGCCTATCCCTTTGGGGGTAAAAGGCGTGATGTTATGTATATTCTTCTATGAAAATACTGGTGTTTATCGGTTTTAATGAAAAGTGAGTGTTACATTTTATGCATAATGCATAAATGTATTTTAACTGATCTCTTTCTATTTACAGGATTGCTTCTGCTGTCGCGAAAATTACTTGCGGGAACGTTTGGTTACTCTGACCCATTGTTACGACCCCGATGGTGTCAGGCTTGAGGATGAAGACAGTATCATGGAAGTGCGACTGCGTGAACCTGACGATTGCAAGTGCTACAAGTGTGGAGATTATAGCCGTTAAAAATGTATATAGTTTTGTATTTTACGATGTAACTGATAAGGGCCCATTTTTGTGAGGACTATCGAAAAACCTATTACATTATGTATTCTGATTTTAATAATATATTTGTAAGTTTAACGAAATAAATGGTCAAGGGTTTTTTAAATTAATAAGTAGGCTTTATAAATTAATGACAAACTTAGTTTTAAGTTAATCCGTGCCTGTGTATTTTGTAATAAATTATTTAACCTATCCTTAAGTTACCTATGATTGATAAAATGTTGAAATAAAATATTTTAAAGAAGTTATACGAACATTTTATTTAACTAATCCTGGCTTGAAGCCACCTGTTTCAGTCTAAAATTCAGTAATAATTTTGCAATGTGATATATTTGGTTATTAATACATCACGTCAGTGTTTGTGAAACAAACTAAACAAAAGCAGCTTGATGCCTGATGGCTTGATAGCCCAAAATTACCCCAAGAGATTGTTGATAAATATCATATTTAATCTTGTGTGTACATATATTATACATGTGTGTAAATACATTAAATATCATATTTAATCTGTAAATTATGTGTTGTAACACTTGGGAGAAATTCATTGGTACGCTTCAACTCTGTGTAATTATGACGAAAACCGAGTGGGTAGATAATAAAATCTACTTTTTTAAATTTGCATAAAGTTTTCAACTGTTGCATAGCTAAATTATTTTTATTATTTAATTTTTTAATGATATATAATTCATTTATAATTTTGTTGTCTGAGGCACAGGCTTATATAATTTTCAGTTAGTTTTACGTTATAGGAGACGTCCTTTGCTATAAATGCTGATCGTCTCTACCTTTACAGGTATTAAACAGTTAAACATTTTGTAACTTTAGATGGTTCAATTTTCAGCGTCCCATCACAACAAAATTTATAGATCCACAACCTTTGTTTGTACAAAAGTAGTCTCTTAACATCGGAATTAAGGTCTATAATGGAGTAAAGGGAGAGCGGCCACTGGTGACTGCTTAGGGATTGGTCTTTATCTTGTAATGGGACAGTTATCTGCTAATGTTGATTGATATATCACTACTACTAGCTACCTACTACTGAACGAGTCAAATAGGAAAATAATATAAGTACCCTCACTTTTTTCTGGGGGCACGGCAGTGACCCCGCCAAGTCGAGTGCGAAGCAAACACTGCCGTACCATCCTTTACTGGAATCGTTTCGCCGCATTTTCAGGCCCCTATTTGAGAACCTCTGGATAAGACCAGAACGCAGAAATTTTCGTCATCCAGTAAGCTATAATCACATACTTAAAATCCAAAATTTGGAGTCTACATGTCATTTAGTTCCGAAGTTAAGCGAAAGCAAAGTATCGCATTTATGACACTCACCCACTCACTCACTCATGATCATCAAAATAGAACTAGTACTTCCCATAACCTCACAGAGCTGAAATTTGGCACAGAGTTAGGGTTTTATGGCCACATAAATGGAAAACTATCAGGATCACCAGTAACTCCAGATCTGGAGTAACTTAGACAGATTATAAATCAAATATACAGATTAGGACTTGGCCGTTGATGGGTTTTAAGACGTTTTCCAAATGGTAAATTTCCATCGTCAATGGGTAGAGGTTCTGGCGACAGATTGGTGCAATGGTGTCATGGAGCACCTGGTTTTGTACCCTTGTGTACCCTTCAACGGCAAATTTACACAATATTAACTGTAATAATAACGAGATCGCAATAAGGAACCTTAGACTTGGCACGACTTTGTTATATTTCATTACTTTTTAGAGATAAACTAGCAACTCCATCGAGACTTGGCAAGTTTTTTACAGAATGTTTTTGGTGAGATGTCCTTTAAGAAGAAGAAGGCAGGGTAGGCAAAGACCGCGAGACGATTTCCGGCCACCGTAAGGATCTGATCCGAACCGAAGGGTCTGCGGACCCGAGCGTACGCGTGTCGCGTTCCGTGCGCGCCTCTATGCGCCATCAGACCACTACAGATAGGGTTGATGCTGATACAAAGCCGCAGAGGACTTAACGAGTTGCCGGGGCTCCAGCTTGAAGTGCAGGAGTAAGAACGGCGTGGTTTTTAGTCAGTATGGGTCTGACACTCCCTTTCGCCTCACCCGGCGGGATAATGAAGACATTGGATGATTTCCCCCTAAAATAACAAGGGTGCAAAGGTGCATATAAGATGTTTTAGGCACTCTCTCCTTGTTCAACTAATTTCAATATTAAAGATTAATACTACGACATTTCAAAGTTATCAGATCTATATGTGTAGCGGAGAACCTAACGGGTAACCGGAGCTCCGGCTCGACGTGCAAGAGAAGGAACGGGGTGGTTTTTAGTCAGTAAGAGTCTGACACTCCTCCCGCCTCACCCAGACGGGAGCAGTCATTCGATGATTTTCTCGCCTTAAAAAATAAAATAAAAATCAGATCTATATGTATAGGGGGTGAGCTCATTGCCATGTAATGAGTACTACCAGACTCCGTCTAACTACTAAAAGAACTCAAGACTTTTGTTTGATAGATATACTTGCCTACTAAGGCGGAGTACTCAACGAAGGCAATATACGGTGGTTTGATTAAATGTGCCAATTATTGGAAGTATCCTTTGTTTTCCAAAATACGTCATCTAATAATTTATAACTATTACTTGTACAAATATATAAAGCTGAAGAGTTTGTTTTCTTTGTTTGTTTGAAGGTGCTAATCTCCGAAACTACTTAGTGGACCTTTTGTGTCGAATTAATAGGGTATTTATCAAGGAAGGCTATTATAAGCTGTAAAACATCTCATTATGACCAATAGGAGCTGAGCAGCGGGTGAAATTACGCAGGAGCTGGTATACAATATGTGGGTGTGTCATACCTTGCTTTAAGAGCACTATTATTGCTAAACATAACGTCACAGTCTCCCATGGTGGTAGGCAGAGACTATGGAACGCCAATTACTATTATTCCTACAGACCTCTTTAGCTTCATCAACAGTCATCAATCTAAACATTGCTAATCACCCTTCAGAATTTCAGACCCTGTAATCGTATTGAAAAATTACAAAAGGAAAAGGGTATCCTTTTCTAACTCCACTTATTCAAAGCACCATCTGCAATGCATCAATTAAAATTGTCTTTTTACCGACAATGGTGAAAAAGTAACATGGATTTGATGTAGTTATTGCCTTATAAAATATTTTACACAGATTATTTAGCAGTTGAACGAAACGAAATTAGAGTTAGAGGTAATGAAAGAGAGAAGTCCCTTTGATTAAGTAGTCATGTAGTCATTAAACGTGGCTTCTAGTTAGAGATCACTACCCGTTCATTACAATCATCAACTTGAACCGTTTTTTCTTCAGACTTAAATATATTGTCTTCTTATTTTATTTTGTTAAATATCACAAATGCAATATTTATAGTTCCCGCTGAGTAGCCATTAAAGATCGATTAAACCTTGTCAGCGCTGTAGGTCCACATGTTCGAAGTTGTTCTCACTAAAATGAGTTTCATGTCGCGTTGCTAGGGTATGAGTTTTCTACTAATGCGTGGTGCCTTTATATACTGATGGGATTATCCGATAGTTCATACAACAGTTTCGCCTATCAAAGGATTAGGACGAACTAACAGTTAATAATTCAATTTATACACAGCAAAATGTTCCGTTTCGATATAATTTCTTTAAGTCTAGTATTTTTGTCGGCTGTTCAAATTAATGATAGACCTGTAAGGGCCCAATCAGTAGAAGTTCAACTCCCTCCAGGTAAACAGTTTTTGCACTATTGTGGTCTCATACAATAGTAATAATATAAGTATTTAAGTCGAGTTAAAAAATATTTAATTATATTTTTTTGTTTGCAGGACAAGAGTGTCAAATGACACCTGTTATTCATATCCTTAAGCACCCTGGATGTATTCCTAAAGCGATACCGTCCTTCGCTTGTATTGGCAAGTGCTCGAGTTATGTACAGGTAAGTACCGAAAACGAAAAGAATGTGTGGATAGAAATAAAACTTTCTGCTAATTGAATACCATGTAATATTCTACGTTTATAGGTATCTGGAAGCAAAATCTGGCAAATGGAACGCACGTGTAATTGTTGTCAAGAATCTGGTGAACGAGAGGCCACCGTTGTTTTGTTGTGCCCTAAGGCAAAGAGCGACGACAGGAAATTAAGAAAGGTAATGTAGCAGCAAAATAAATTAATTGTTAAAATAGGTATGTTTTTCTCAAAGGAAACGTTACGCACGCCTTAATCTCAAAAGGACCGCTTGAAGAGAATATAATACAATCAAACGTTTATTTACTTTTCTCCGGATAATCTACAATCTTACCTATCAAAGATGGAGTAAAACCTGTTGCATTATAAAGGCAGTTTCATTTTAACAACAATATCAATATAAATTTCATTTTAATATCAATATAAGCGCTAAATATTTACTTTGGTTTTAACGCTAATTGTCTTTGCAGATCACAACAAAAGCTCCTTTGGAATGTATGTGCCGTCCATGCGGTAGCATCGATGAAAGTTCCATAATTCCTCAAGAAGTTGCTGGATACGCTGAAGAAGGCCCTTTGTACAATCACTTTAGAAAATCCTTTTAATCTTAAAATACTGTTAGTTACTTCAGAAAATTTATAAAAGATGTATCTTATTAAATAATAAAACAAACCCTTTGACCACAAAATTCAAGAGTTTTATTTACTGGAGTAATGGAGTTGATCACTGATAAACAGTTTCATGAAATACTCTAAACAAATCTGGTTTTTGAAATTTAGGAAATTTCAAAATTCAACAGTGTTAGAATTATAAAATAATCAATTTAGGAAGTCATGATATGTCCAGAATCAGTTGCACTCTGGAAGTTCAAATTTCACATAAATTGGAAACTTCTTAATAATTCTCTTTTACATAGAACTCATAACATAACTTATGAAAATGTATGTTACTTCCAATTGGTGCCCCCGTGAGTGCAGCCATCTTACTCTAGGATTGCTATTGTAGAGTGGTAGGGTATGACATCGATAGGTACACTTTTGACTACCCCTTCATTGGTTAAATTAAAATGCACGGTGCTACATTTCATTATTTAAAAAAGTCAACTGTCAGACTCACTTTGTTGTTGTCACTTGTCAGTGTCAGCCAGTTTGTCAGTAGTGTCACTGTCATTGTTGTCAGTCCTTCGTTTATTTTGTTTTGAAGTTCCTCAATCTTAGTTTTTCTATAATTTACGATCAATTAATTAACAATTTATAGCAAAAATGAGTCGCAGAAAACGCGCAAAGGTTTGTTGCTGTTATAGACTTGCCAATATATTGCTGGAGTTGTGTATATTTATTTGTTTTGATGACTAGGTTATGTTTATCGATCGTAGGTAGAAACCCGGGAACTTGATGAAAAATTAAAACAAGATGATTCTGAATCTGATCAGTCGGAAAAGAGTAAGATTACATCGTCAAGTCCTACTTCGGTCGGAGGTCGAAGGGAGTCGTCTTCAAGCCGTAACACCGATGGTAAAGATGCGAAGGATAAAAAGGACGAATCAAAAACTGATGATTCTAAGAATGATGATATTGAGGAAATTAATTATAAAGAAATGCTTAACAGGTACACACAATCATCGATTTCTATATTACAAAGTTTCTAGTCTCTATATACATTGTCTTAATGATACCTTCCATGGATCCTATCCATGCTATAGTGCTGTTTGCTTGAAGTCTCCCTTTATGAAAGCTTGTCAATTCATCAAAGATACAATAATAAATTTACAGCCTTGAAGGAGCAGCATTTCAATCACGGTTGCCATTTGATAAGATGTCATCTCTAGAAGCAGAGTGTTTCTCTGATTTACAAGGACCTTCAAGCCATGCATTTGTTCAAATAAGAAACAGGATTCTAAAGCTTTGGTTTGAAGATCCTAAGAAGCAGTTGACTCAGGAATTGGCTGTGCAGAAAATGGAAGTAAGTTTTGTAATATACAATTATTTTATAAACAATTATTAATACATTTATTTTCATACTAAACATATGAAGGGGTTTGATTATTGTTGTTTTATACTTTCAAATAAAAATCTATATTATTATTGTGCATCTCTATTAGTTATTTAATTTAACTATTTTAATTCATTCATTATTAAAATGACCAATAAAAGTAAATGTAAGTAAATAGAATAAAATAATAACAAAATAACATTCCACTACATGCACTATATTTCTATAACTTCATAAACTGTTCATTCTACAAGCGGTTATGGTGACTGCTCTCTGCTAATTCCATTATAGACCTCAGTTCCGATGTTTAGGGACAAATTTTCTTTGAAAAAAAATTTTGTATGATATATCAACATATTAATAAGCACTTATTATCACAGGCATACACATAGTGTTTTCTTATTAGATCAGTAAATTGTGTCTTACTTATCCATTTATTTTTCACTTTACAGCCTCCGTACAATGGTGATCCAGCTCTAGTAATGAGAACTCATGCATTTTTGGAGAGACATGGTTTTATAAACTATGGTATCTATGAGCGAACTACTCCTATTCCAACCCCACCAAAAGGAAAACAGAGACCAAAAGTCATTATTATTGGTGCAGGTATGAACTTTTAATATTTGAAAGACACATTTAAACTGTCAAACACCAAGCGTACACCGGTGACCGCAACCTATTGTTCTTTAATTGTGTCTATAATGACGGTACTCAATGAGTTAAGCTCGTGTATCACTATCAGCCTATTTACACCACCTGCTAGACATAGACCTGTCCAGTCCAGTAGCATGCTGAGTTTAATCTTCAGGACTTTAGCTCTTCTCATCCAACCACACCTTGCTATGTGACTACATTATATATGATTTGTAATTGTGTTGCCGAAGTACACAATATAAGAAACTATTTTAAAATTTTAACATATCCATCACTATGAGGTTTAAGACCTGTCCAATATCATGCCGAGTTTAATCTTTAGGACTTTGGCTCTTCACATTCAACTACAGCAAGCTATGTGGCTACATTATAGAAATTGTGTTCGTGAAGTATACAACATAAGAAACTATTTAAAAATTGTAACCTAACTACTAGTACTAGCCATCACTATAAGGTTTAAAAATCTCATTTCAGGGGTGTCTGGTTTGGCCGCAGCTAGACAACTGCAGTCATTTGGATGTGAAGTGGTTATACTTGAAGGGAGAGATAGAGTTGGCGGCAGAATTGTTACTTACCGGAAAGGACCTTATGTAGCAGACTTAGGTAAGACAGCTCAATGAGAGATTAATCACAACATACTGAAATAGGCCTAGATTTATAAGTACTAGCTGACTATAGTTAGACCATTTTTGATAGTATGTCATGTATAGAAAATATTTTTGTTTTTATATTTGATGGGCTGACATTTGAGCACTATCTCATCTGGTGGTAAGCAATGATGCGGTCTACAATGGAGAATGATGTGAATAAGAAGAGATTGTATGTTTTGATAACATGTAATATCTCAATAGAAAAAGTAGATATATACCTATGTAACCTCAAAGCTAAAATAATAAGAACAGTTAGGGCAGAAAGAAGGATGATCTTGAATTTTTTAGTAACAGTCAAACTTCTCCTATCCTTCCTGGAACTACTTAGAAATATCGAAATTCCCATGTCATTTAATTTATATAGTATAAGTAATATAGACATCCAATATTCTTCTAATATTTCTATTACACAATTTTTATTATACTAATACACAATATTTCTATTAGAATAGCACATACTTATGTATGTGCTATGTGTAGGAGACAGGCGTGAGGTTATCCTCACGCCTGTCTCCTATGGGGGTAGGCAGAGACTATGGAACGCCAATTGCTACGATTTTTTCATACCTATTTCGCTTCATCAACAGTCATCAGTCTTTTTATCCATGCTCGTCGATTAAGGGTACTTTTAATTTGACCGATAATAGAAGGCCCGATAATAGAATAGAACTGAAGTATTAAATTTTTCTAAATGGTCCCCTTTACTATTTACAGGTGCTATGGTGGTGACTGGTTTGGGTGGCAACCCTGTAACAACTCTGTCGGTCCAAATGAATATGGAATTGCATAAGATCAAGCAGAAGTGTCCTTTGTATGAAGCTACAGGGAATCAGGTTCCTAAGCATAAGGATGAAATGGTAAGAAAAAGTTTTTGGTATCATGTTTGTTGTAGTTTATTATAAAATCACTTATTTCTGTGCCTGTCCATATTCTTGTAATGTACAGTCTAATTGTTGCACAGTCCATGATAATATGACGGTAACTTTACGATACCAGTTTTGGGGACAAAAGTGCTAATTCAGCACTTTATTCAGTCTGCTTATGTTGCTAACTTAGATTCTCTGTCGGATTTACCTTCTTTAACTATATTTTTTTTATACTTGATGGGCCGAAGTTGACCCCTATCTCGCCTGGATTACTCTTAACAGTGATGCTTTTATTTTTCTAGGTGGAGCGTGAATTCAACCGCCTTCTAGATGCTACGTCCTATCTCTCTCATCAAGTTGATTTCAATTACTACAATGATACACCTGTCTCTCTCGGACAAGCATTGGAATGGGTCATCAAACTTCAGCAGAAGAATGTTAAACATAAACAGGTATTAGACTTAGTTACTGTTATACTGTTTTTTTTATCTTTTAATAGCGTTAATGTAGCATAAATTCTGTTTAAACAATAGGAAATAAGGAAGATGACAGGGTATAAAAATTAAAAAATCTAATTAGTCTGTCAGTTAGATAATGAAGAATAGACACATATTTCTTTTGTTTTATAGGAAAACAATACTTAGATAAAACGAATCAAAGATTACGAGTGGGAGCTAGCTACGTCACTTTAGAATATAAAACGTACTCAAAAGTGACGTCACGCGACATTTCAAATCAATATATCGTCGAAAGTATTTGTTTCCGTAAGAAAATAAAAAATACGTGTCAAATATTTTAAAATACAATAGTGCTTATGATTCACTAGCGCCGTCTGGTGAGCAAAAACGGTAGTTCTCATTAGAGTTATTTTTTTTACATTAGAGTCATTAGAGTCATTTTTTTTACTTTATAAAAATTTACAACACTGAGGGCTTTTTAAAACTACTTTTGGGAAACGTTGCCCAACATCAAATATGTATATCGCACGATTCGACGATATCCTTAGTAAATTGACCACAGTGATCAGGATTAAATTTTTTCTAGGTCCAACATCTAAAGGCTGTAATAACATTGCAAGAGAGACTCAAGTCGAATATAAACAAGTAAGTCGTAAAATAATCGAAACTTCTAAATAAAAAAAAAACTATATCAAGTAAATTTTTGCATGGTAATAAGAAATCTTACCTGTCAGTAGTTGGCTACATGGCTATGAATTTTGCTATAGGCAAGCTTCGTACAAAACGTGCCGAAGTTTTAGTAGTCATATCTATCAAAGTATCAAGAAGAGGTTGTTACTCTCGTTGTTAGGTTTCAAAAAGGAGATAAATTTATATCAATTTCTTTTTCCAGAATGTCAGATATAAAAGAGCTCTTGCATTCAATGAAGGCCGAGAAAGATGCTTTGATCGTAGAAAGAGAAAAAGGTGCGACTGGAGACGCGAGCATCTTGCAAGAATTTAATTATAGACGCCTCAATAGAGAAATGACTTTGCTATGCAATGAGTATGAGACCTTGGTTTCAACTAATGCTTCTATTGAGGAAAAGTTGGCACAGCTGGAAACAAATCCGCCAAGGTTTGTCCATATTTTAATTAACGTGATACATAAAATTTAGATTTAACTAAGAGTCGACACACTTAATCAAAGCTAATTGGTTACTTGCCGACTAGTCAAATTCAATACTTTTTTCGAACTGTCAAAAACGACAGTTTTGTATGAATTTTGTACGAGATTGTGTATTGTGACGTCACGTTTTTTTAGCGTCAAACAGCATACGTATTTCGTAAAGTTTGCTGGAAAAATATTGAAATTAAGTTGATCAAAAAATCAATTAATGAAAGTGTGATTTACTTTTTAATATTTTATTGTATTGAAAGGTCGAAATAATAGATTTTTGATTAAGGAAAGTACCCAATATTGTAGTTGACAGAATAAAGTACATTTTTAAATTTTAACCACCCTTCTTCCCGTTAGTATCGTAAGAGATAACTAAAGGAGCCCATATTTGATGAAGTAGCTTCGGCGAACTCCTTTCAAATCTTTTTTGATACACTACCTCTTTATCATCACACCCTTTTTATCCTCAGCTGGTTAAAGACTTTTCTAATCAGCTGATTACTCTATACAATAGGGTTGTAGACAATGAAAATTGAAAATTTAATTAGTCCGTCAGTTAGATAATGAAAATATATGTGTCTAATACACACATTTTTTATTTTGTCGTATAAGAAAATAATACTTAGATAAAACGGAGTTAAGTTTAGGAGTGGGTCGCTACGTCACGCTACCCTATAATTTGTCACACGATATTTCCAATCAATATAATATCTTCGAAAGTATTTAATTTTATAAGTAAAGAAAAAATACGTGTCTTTTGTTATGAAATAATATTATTTCATAATCTTCAAATCTATATTATTTAATAAATCTGGTATATACCAGATGGACAATAAAATAAAATTTAGTATACCATGCAGGTACCCTATTTATAACAATATCAATTTATATTTTAGTTCAGTGTATTTGTCGGTGCGTGACAGACAAATACTGGATTGGCACTTCGCTAATTTGGAGTTCGCGAACGCAACACCGTTGGGGAACTTGTCGCTCAAACATTGGGATCAGGACGACGATTTCGAGTTCACTGGGAATCATTTAACAGGTATGTTGAACATGTAATCTTATACTCTTATACTATTATATAAAGCGGAAGAGTTTGTTTGTTTGAACGCGCTAATCTCCGTAACTATAAGTCTGATTTGAATAATTCTTTTTGTGTTGGATAGTGCATTTATCGCGGATGGCTATAGGCTATAAAACATCACGCTACGACCAATAGGAGCTGAGCAGAGTGTGTCAAACCGCGCGGAAGTAGCTCGTGTAAAATAAAAGATAGCAACGCACTTGTAAGTTGGGAACTCGTATGATGTTGCGAATGTCTATGGGCGGCACTGACCTGACCATCAGGTGATCTGTCTGCTCATTTGCTCCCTAGTCGTGAAAAAAAACGAAATTAATTATTAAGTATGTTTAACGGCTTACTGACCTAACCTTTTTACAAGACCACTCGACTTGTTTTTTTTTCTTCTTTGGCAACCGAGTCCCACCATACCACTCGACTAGTTACGTTGCTAAGGTTTCAGAAATGAAAGATAAAAAAGTTTGTTATTGTTTGTCGACAATTTAGTTGTTGATTCTGAAACCTTCTTTTATTTTTTGGCGGGAAAGTGCAAAATTATCGTTACCTCCCCGTTTTTAATTGACATAATAATAATTTTTTATCTATGAATATGCTGTTTTGTGTGAAAAATATTAAACGATTTTTATGTACTTTTTATTTGTATTAATCGAAGTAATTACCCATACCATCAATGCATATTCGCCAACGCAGTGGCAGTTTATTGACACAGAAGAATATAATTATTTGAAATTAGAATTCTTAGCCAAACGAAAAATAATTTGGATCTGAAATGGCCAGTACTGCAGAATGGCAATTTCATAGGTAAAGGCATAATAATGTAATACCTTGATTTGACATCGTATTTTTATTCTATGGTAATAATTATATTCGGTGGTTTAAAAGTTAGAGTATTTTGCCGCTCGACACTGGCAGTATAGTCGACAACACCGTTTTGGAGACTCGGTTGCCAAAGAAGAAAAAAAAAGTAAGAGTGCCTTTTGAAAACACATTATTTATTTGTTTAATGTAATTAAATGCGCTGTGAACACATGTCGCCTTTGTTGAAGCTATTTTTAATTACGTAAATGTCATATCTAATGACAGGTTCACAAATTGAGAATGAGTTATTATTTAACAAGAACTTCTGATAAGTAAATAAAAACTAGAAAGAACAAAGTATGGTGTTATAAAGTGATATAAGTAGGCCATAGCTATAGTGGATGGTGCCTGGTGGAGATCAGTTCAGGTATTTTTTTTTATTTTATTCCATAACGACAGATTGAAATCGTGCACAACATTTTTAATTATAAAAAGTGAAGACTATTTCTATATAAAATAAATTAAAATTTAGCCTATAATGCTGTTTAAACTTATTAACATTAACATCAATTAGCATACTACCTATATTTTACAAATGTTTCATCTTACTTATATCTTATTATATCGGTGTTTGGTTCAAAAACAGTACGGTACACAAACCATTCTCAAGTGTCTCTTTAGTGAAGCTATTTGCTCATTCCAAAGTGTAGACTCTTATGGAGAAGGACGAGCAAGAAACTCCATAGGTTACTCTTTTTCAATCAGGTTCACAATACAATTTTTGGTTACATTGTTTCGTTGGTAGTTGCTCCATATTATGTACAATTAATGTACTAACAAGCGTGTAAACACGGGATAACTCTAGGATATGAGATTTAGCGCTGATCCTAAGTCCTAACCTAGTTGGATCTATACACATTGTCAGTCACGAAAGGGAATGAAAGTTAAACATTAGATTGTAATACTTTTTTGTGAGGTGATCCATTTAGAATGCACATTTGTGGGTGAATTAATTTGTTTTGTAAGTACTCGTTTCTGTCATGGAACTCTAATACTTGTGTAATAGTCTCGCCTTTCCGCATTTTATTGACAGGCGTGGAACCAGTTACTTAGTGCTCATGGTAAAATTATATTTGTTTACAATAGACATTGGTAGCCATAGTAGCTTTTATCGCTTTTATCCCACAAACCTGCATTTTTTAATTATTTAAAACAAAACAGTCCACTTTTTCCGACTTTGATGGGTTGATAACTTATCCATTATCCAATATCTACTTTGTAAATAATAAACTACGTAAAAATTCCCCAATAATATGTTAGGCCAACTATGAATATTTCCCCATAACATAAAAGCGATCAATCAACCCATAGAGTCGAGATTATTTGACCGATGAAGTGACAAACGGCATCGATAAAGAAACACTCCATTAGGATGGTTTCCACCGCTAATCACCAGGGCATTCGGGCGTCGGGCCTGCGATGGCAATAACTTCAATTAGCCGCTGCCACGGCACTCGTTAGCGTTTTACTGAACGTTTCCGTGCAATCCAGCACGATCGATGCGCCATTGTATCACACACAAAAGATGCTACCGAATAGCAATAGCTGTCCCTATAAGGGTAGTTTTACCTCGGTGTGTTATTTGTTTCCACTTAGGCCAGCCATGCTATCTGAGCAACGGTGAATCTGCTGGGCTTATATGGGTTTTGTATGTAGCTGCATATTTTATTCGCCTCGCTTTATACATTAAATGTACTTACATATTTTATGTCTTGGTGGCAAATACAGCACCTATTTTGTTGATACTATTGCTTTATAAAATACAAAGCTACATCATAAATAAAACCTGATACTTGAATTAAATCGTTTTGTTCACAAAATTTTGTCTCCGTGAACATCAATTCTTTCGCGAGTGTGGTTCGTGCCCAAGGGCTTGCCCCGTTATGAATGTGGAATTTTCGAGTTAGTGGTCGGTTCTGATCTTTAGTAGCGGATGGCGGATTTTAGCCCCAAGCGTCGGTTCGTGTCAGTAATTATTATCATTTCTGGCCGCAAATTTCCATCTCTACAGCCGATAAATTACTATATCTGCCTTCTGTGAATTGTCATAATGGCCGTTGCAGAAAACGCGAGCCCAGTACTTAGCTACTTTACGCGCATTCGACTGAGACACTCGCTTCGCTTGCTCAAGTTTAATATTATAAGTTGGATAAGTAAAATCAGAAATAGTGTTTGCTAACTAAATAATGTCGCTTGTCTACTATTCGTTACCCGAATTTGCATAATGTATTCTTCTGAGTTAGCGTCAGGTTGTCGCTGTCACTTTCTGAATAATATAGCATTTGTTTAGATTTCATTTATGTTTGTCGATTACGCGTAAAATATAAAAAGGGAAGGAGTGAACTGGCGTCCGTTGTTCAGTCAAAAGATATGTATCGCGACATCCCCGAGACGCCTCTTTTGTACGTCGGTTGTGCGTGTGTTGTCGGCCATATTTCTTACTGTTCGCTTACTCCGTGGTGTGTTCGCGGCGTGGGTAGTTGAAAAATGACATCTTGATTGTTGTGCGTTATTCTACTCATGAGAATGTCGAGTCGTAGTGGTCGCGTGCACAGCCATTGTCAGGGTTCTCAGCCCCAGGCACTACAAATTGAACGATTGTTAACCGTTCCTTGAAAACTTTGTTATCGTGACTTGTCACGGAATTATGTGTACTTACTGGGATAACATATTTTGTTAGAATATTATAGTAAATATTATATTTTAGCGTTGTTGGCGTTACAACGCTGTCGAGATAACCAGTTTTGTGACTTGTACCAGGCTCGTAGATTACCTAACTACATTTTTGGTCAGCCTATAACAAACGTGATACCTGTAAGCATCCTTAAATGCTTGCACTGAAACGCAAGATAAAGATGTATTTTCAGTAAAACAGATTGTGAATGTCATGAGGTGCCAGTTTTTAGCGTAGTGATTGTTTCACGTTTTACTTATAAGTGGGACAAGTAAATGAAAAGAAAAATCTTATCTCTCCTCTAAACATCTCCTAAGATATACATACTAAATCAATTAATGATTATGTCGTTAGACGTAACTATGTATTTACCTTTCTGGGAATTTTAATGCACAAAGACTCGACTGGAAAACTTTGATTTATTTGTTGATTTAGGTAATAAGCACCCAATTTTTCAATAGTTTGACGCGACTGCAAGCCAAATAAATTTAACATTCCAATGATAATTACACCCGGTAATAATTTATCGACTTTGTATTACGAATGAGGCATTCGCAAATCATAAATAAAACTAACAAAGCCATGGTCAGAATGAATTATAAGCTGTTTAGCTGTTTACGAACGACAAATGGTGTTTGAAACAAGTCCCTGAGGTGGCGGCGAGGTCCAAGTGATCAGAGTATAGAAGAGCTCACGGCGGCAACAAGTTTTGATAAGAGTGTGCGTGGCAAGATGCAAGGCAGTAATGAATGTGATACAAGCGCGACCTTCCTCATTTATCACTCGCTCTATGAATAAAATATCTCGACGTTCCTTTCGGATAGTGTCTGGTCGTGCTGGGACGCTTACGGCTCACAGCCGGGCGATCACAATCTTCAGCCTAGTACCTAATAATGCTGAGCTCTCTGGAGAAATTCACACTGCTCGCTCTTGTTACGTCTCTTTGTTTAGTGCAAACCAGCCACAAGGGAGTATCTAGTTCAGATTCTATGACCACTTTTCTTATTTCGTCGATACATTATTGAAGAGAACTGCTTTAGTTATAAGTACTTCCATGAGATTTTATTATTTGTTTAGTAAGTTTTCTTATTGTTGAGTTTCTGTCAATAGGTAACGAAATACATACGTATCAGAACCATGTATGAAAAATCGTAAGCTTTAATTTTCCTAGTCGAAGGTATTCTATTTGTTTATACTTTTCTATATCTTTGTGCTATTATTTTCCTATATTATGTGTATGTTTAGTTTACTTAAATATCCAGATAATAAATTAGCTGATGACCAAGAAGTTTTATAGACTAACTGTTCTGATGTATATTTTCTAACCATGAAGTCGGAAGTTATATCTTGAGTCACTTGCGTAGTGATTGCTTATAGTAATTGCAAATAACTGGTAAGCCCAGAGTTTATGATGCAAATAAATAAATATTGTGTGGATTCGAAACGCAACTTATTGATAATATTTTAGAATGTAATTTTAATATTGTGACCAGTTTGTCTACTTTGAACATCTTTTTGATTACCTCTATGAAATGGGGACGAGTTAAGTAATAGTTGCACATCAGTATGGTGTAAAGACGTAAAGGTCTTTCGTCTCACGAGGACGTCAATCGCGACGTGGCGCAGCCTGCGGAGGCGTCAGGGGCGTGGATGAATAAGCAATGAAACGACGAATGGCTCTATTAGACCGCCATTGTTGCCTTACGATCGCTCGACTTGCGCAAGCGACATGTATTGTTCGTAACCCGTGGCTTTCACTACGAGCGATGACGTCACAACGCTTGCGACCCAAATGCTTGCAGTGTTAGATGTAGTGCAATTTCCATTTATCGAACCTTATATAGCTTGGAATGCACCCAATACGGTGGTAAGTCGTTGTCGCGATTACAATACCTTGAATGTTACTTGTTTCACGTCTGAAGAAAACGATTGATCGTAGTACCTACCTTGAGTTTATGGCCGGTCTCATACTTAACTTTTATTTCACTATAAACTTAAATAGGTACGGCTGCAAAATGTCCCTGAATCAAATGTTGCTATCAGGTGTTAAAGGTTTTGCTAACAGAAAGCTCAGAGTATAAATCGTTATGGTTAGGTTGGGTATCTCTCGTTGCTAAAGGAAAATTGTTGAAGAAGTAGTTTATCAAGATAGGCCAGTTTGACACGGATTTTCTGTGGTCAACATGGAGGATTTATGTGGCACATTGTGTTACAACGGGTCGGCACTTTGTGCGTCTAATTGACAAGTGTCCGGAAGCGAACGCGTCACACCTGTCTAACGAGCACGTCGTGCACTTGATTGCACCCACTCGGCTCGACTAACAAGCTGCTCATCTTTGCCTGTATCAAATTCCTGTATCTGACACTTTTATGGACAGTTTAAGCTTTCGAAAGATTGATTTTGGAAAACAAGTTCATGATTTTGTAGCATTTTTTGAAAGTTAAATATGTATATCTGACTCACATAAAACTAAAAGTACTTTATGAATACATGTGCACCGAGAGATAACTTGTTTTTGATAATTGTGCTAATCTGGCTGAATGCAGTAGAGCAGGACCCTCTGGGCGACTCCCGCCAGTAATATAATTTGCATCGTGTACGGTAGTAGTTTTATTGCCAACAATTGGCCATTATCTGAGAACATTTGCACGCCCGCCCGTCATACTGTTTAATTTATTGTTTCGACCCGTCTATTTCTATTGGCCTAGATTTAATTTTAATCATAGTCATGTCTAGAGCGTCTCTCTCAGTGGAATAGTTTCATTACATCAGTCTACTAAATATGATCCCCTCTATTGCCTTATTAAATCGTTGTCAAAGCGCTCTATTAAGGCTTCACAGATATATTTTAGGAGTGACAAAGGTTCAATTTAATTTTAACTTACTACGTACTCATTCAAATTTTGATTATTCCACGTTAGTTTAAATCGGGTCTCCGCTCAACTTTCCTTTCATTGTAAAAGTTGTAATCCTCTTTGTGGACCCTAATTGAATTCACTGTTATGCTAATACTGTGATTTCCCATCTTATTTCGTTAATAGAGGTCTGTGGTAAACCAATTAAAGGGTACGTCTGTGGATTACTCAACTTTTGGCGAGTAGTTTGAGGGTTCTGCATGCACGAGAAATTAAACGTTTATCTAGTCCTTTTATGTAAATAGATTGATAGATAACTATTATGTTTTGGAACTTTGTGAATGTTTGATTGTAGCTCATTTTGTACAACTATTTGAATTCTTCAGCTTCTTAAATATTGCTTACTATGTAACTATTGGGATAATTTAATAACAATATAGTTATTAACAATCTATTCCGTTTGTATTTATTGCGTAGTTTGATATGTGCAGATGTTTATGTGCGGCGGTGCATATGTCGCTTTATTGCGCGTTTCGGAAGGCTTAGCATTCCGCCCGTGGACTCGGTCGTCTCTAATGCTGGCGTATTGCGGTTTTATTAACGTTGTTTCCTTTTGTATTACATTCCACAGCATCTTGTTCACATGTGAATGTATTATCTATTTTCCCTGGTACAAAGGATTTGCTGTAACTCTTTTCCTAGTTTTGTGCTTCTGCAAAATTTCAAGAAATTGGATTTAAATTTATAAGTCAGGGAACACAAGCCGTATAGGTTTTGTATGAAATTAAAATGTTAGCCAAGCTTTCATAGGTTCATAGAACATCTACAATGGTATACATTCCTGTTAGTTTACAGTGGCAATATTTAACCCTGTAGTGTAAAGTTATGTGTGTACATATAACGTATGTGTTCATAAGAGCGTTGTGCAGGGTTGTGTCACTCCGTTCGGTCGAGTGCCCCGGCAGTCAGTGCAGCGTGAATTGCGGACGCCCGTTCCACTACTGCCAGTAGCGTGCGCCGGGTGGCTACACAAAAAACGAATAGTTTTGTTTAACTCAAATCCATTTAAACCTCTCCTAAAGTTATAAATGCTGAATAGTCACATAACAGCAAAAACAAAGTTTGGGACTGTACTGTGTATTGGAATGGAAACATTTTTCAATCCTGTTGAGATATTGCGTTTTATGTAGTTTGGATCAGGCTGTCAGTGTCGTAGCCCCTCGTTCCTGAAACGGCCCAGATGTCGACTGGAAGTGCAAAATGAAACACGTTAGCGCTTCGGCTAACGTCAGTTCCCTTTTTTGTCGCGCCGCCTGTGGAAAGCCATTTATCAACTTTTTATGGAAACGCTTGTTTTAATTTATGCTTACACTAACTTCCGAGCTCGTAGTTATCTGCGACCTCATTTGCAACTACAGGTTTGTTGCTGTTTACGCCATCTACTGGAATCATCTACATCTTTAAATATGGACAATACCAAGGCGCCGATTATGCGTTATTTTAAAGGTATTGTGCCGATTACTGGTATTATTAAGCAGGCCGATTATTAAGCAGAACAAACCACACACCTAATATTAATTTAAAAAGGCAAATCTCAAAGAATATGAATAACATGATATGGCACATATTTCTGCACACGGACAGTCAGGTGGAAAAATTGTATGTATGTTAGAAGGATCTAGTTTCCGTTAAAGGTCTAACTTGCTGGAAGCACTCCGTATAAAGTCAACCGCAGGACAAATTTCGCTTATATTAACTTTTGGTTCGAGTAAATTTCTCTTCAACTGTGTGACCATTGCACTTCCAAGTGGCAAAGTTTTAATCTCGTCTCTGCGTTGTGGCCATACTTTCTGTACCGTGTCTCTCGTTTAGATTATGTCCTGTATTATGTTTTTGTTATTTTTAAGCTGTTAATATTTAATAACAACTTAAATAAGATTGATAAATTGCTTTAACTCCCTTAGGCAGGATTAAAATATATGGGTCAAAATCGAAATGTGAACAAATTATAATTAAATCGATATCATTATTTAAGCTAATTGATTAATTTGTTTTAACATAGCCTCTACGAGTCTTGTAAACGCAAAATTTAAATACATTCTAATAGAAGATAATAATTTACATCTATCAGAATCTCGCCGAATTTTGAATGTATGAAATGTAATTCCGGCGTGGTCTCCTAAAAGCGAGCACTTAACCACAGCGTAATTCCGGTAAAAGGTTCGGCGGGCGCACCGTCCATTCTCTTCTTAATGTTTATTTAAGCGAAAAAGTTCGACGGTCATTAACCGGATTGGCGGTTAATGAAACGCGTGCGACTTAGAATATTATACACCGAACACCGCTACCATCAGATAATATCACACATTATTTTCACATCTCATTGAAGACAGCTCTTATTAACATTAACCCGTTTTTCAAGTTGAGGCGTTAGACCCTTGATGTGTTAAGGTGATAAACTCAATGTTTTAATGAACTTCCTTAAGGTTTAAAGGGTTCGACTGAGACAATTACTGAGACATTAGCGTCATTGTATTTTTGGGTCACAATTATTTATACATTTTAAATTTTGGTTTCTATAATGCAGTCGCTGTAGTTTTTTTACTTGTGTGAACAATCTTAACATCTAAAGTGTAATCAGAATAAATGTACGCATTTCTCTGGAAAGTGGAAAGATCTAAGTGGGTAGACTATATAAATCCAGTCAAATCGCATTATTTTCATATGAGTCGTAAATAAACTCGTGAAATCTAACGAGAGCACTCATTAAGGGCCTTTTTCATTCTGCACCATCGCTCAGTGCGGTTTTCCTGCGCCATTGAATTGTGCTGCAGCCGCTAACTTCCGTGGCGAACTGTTCCACCCTCAGGGCTTTACCGTTTTTGCATTTCCACACCTAGGATAATGAGGTCTAGAGGCATGTACTTGATGCAGAGCGCCTTCTACTAGAAACTTATTTTAATCTATTGTGAATTATAAACAGTTATTGGAAGCAACAATACATTAATGTCTAAAGGATAAAATAAGTGTAGTAAAGTAATCAAGTGTGGGAGAACCATGCTTCGGCACGAATGGCCGGCTCGACCGGAGTGATACCACGGCCTCACAGAACCGACGTGAAACAACGCTTGCGTTGTGTTTCGTAGTGTGAATGAGGTTACCGGAGGCCTAATTACCCTTGTCCCCGTCTCCCGAATCCCCGAATCCTCCACAATCCTCAAATTCCTAATTCTCAAAAGGCTGGTAACGCACTTGTAACGCCTTGGTGTTTCGAGTGTCCATAGGCGGCGCCGATTGTTTACCATCAGTCATCCGTCTGCTTGTTTACCGGCTTATACAATAAAAAAACAATTAATCGATAATTTTAGAATGTTACCTAAGTTTCAAATTCAGAGCTTTTTGTTGATTCTTGCTCCAAAGTTAACACTTGCTAAGTTTTTTAATAACAAATTCTGTTTCTATTTATTGTACACGCGCCGTAACTGTTGGTTGGCGGCATTTTCCAGCGTCTGTCTAAAATATGTAGCAATAAAAGCGCTTTGGACAATGTCCGGACGTGTTAGACTCCATTTATTGTTCGGGGCCCACGTGTTGTGTCGGCCCGGCTATACACTGACTCTCTGTAGTGTTGGACATTTACAAACATTTTGGTATGAGCCTCTCCAACGCAATTAAGTGCCAAATAATATTTATATATATTTTTGGTTTTCATAGTAGAGAGTATAATACGTATGTCCCAGCGATATTCCTTTCTGTAGTTAAGTATATTACATGTATAAACATTAAGTAATGCCAAGGATAACTCTTTGTTCAGTTGATACAGGGTTTGTCGTCTCACTTAAGACGGTAAAGGAGAAATAGAGCCGTAGGGGTTGGAAGCAACATGTAACTATTTGTACTTGTTTATCAAGGAGATAAGTGTCTGGAGTGTGCGGCGTCGTCCGCTGGCCGTCTTAACCCATTAGTTCAAAGAAAAGATAGGAGACCGGTCGTATTCCTCCTTTAATTGCTAAACTATCCGTGTTAGGAATTGATTTACTAGCGATACTAATATTGTTATCCTCAAATACTGTGAATGTTGAATGACAAAACATTTTGAATACGTAATTGTATGTACCTATTGATCCATAATAGAAAGAGAACCAGTACTTCTAAATCCTCGCCGATATGATGGGATATAAACATATTTTATAGTTATCTATCACTATTTATGTTCTAACATAAAATGGAGTCTTAGTCTGTCTACTAGTACCTGTTGTTGGAAAGGAAATTTATTTTCTTTGAAAGGAAAATATGAGTATATTTAAGCTTTCTTACCTTCATAGTTCTATTATGAAAGGATAAGAAAACATTGTTCCTTACCTATTGTACCTACATAATAAGTCTGTTGATGGTAACACGAGTTTCGACTTAGGATACAAGTCGCAGTATACAAAGAATGGTATTATGAGGGTATCTAACCATGGAGCGCCGTAAGCGCATTATTGCAAAGCGCGGGTGGCGCGGGTGGTTCGTGGTGAGATGCGACGCCTCTCGAATGTACAATGCGCCCTAAGCTCCCGGGTGGACGTATTCACAGAATAAGTGCTTTGGTAGTCAAAATGAACATAGCTTTTTGAGCCTTATTTGGAAATGCGACACACTTTCCCTATAGTGGAATTACCATATGAGAGGATAAGCTCTGACTGGCTGCATTTGACTTCGCTACTCTTTAATAAAACATCCCTTTTAAGATTTCCTAGAATTTGTAAGGTTTCTTTGGAGAGGTGAAGTTTAAATAAATTGCATTATTTATAAGTTTGGGCGCAATTGTTCAAACTAGAATTAAAAACGGGCATTAATTTCAAAAACCTGTTTCAAGCATGGATGTGATTACATTTATTCATCAATTTAATTGTACGAGCGACGAGTGCATAATGAAACTATTTCGCATACATTTTCTTTCTTCGGATTAGTTAATGTGAATGTTCTGGTTGACAGTTAGGAACGCCCAGCTATGCAAATGTCATTGTCTCTAATGCGTGCCCGACCGCGCCCTACGTATGGGGCTGCCTACGCAGTGTACGAACTGCGACAATCTGAGCCAATGAATATTAACAACCCGACTTAATATGATACTTATTGCCTACCGTGACAACCGGTGTATATCATACTAGCACGTGCCTTAGCATTGTAGTTCTACCTCTATATTGATGCAATGTTGAAGCAAAATTGTTAAGGCCTTTTAACTCTAGCTGTTAGTTGTGATCCCTGACTATTTTGAATCTTATCCCCTTATATCATGTATCCAGTACAAATTTTACGAAAACATACGCAATGGGAGACTGCTGATATAGTAACATCAATAATCCCTGATTTATATCTTTTTAAACTTATTAAACTAAACTCTTGTAATTTATATTCGCCCAAACCAATCATTATGTTTTCAATTCGCTTGGTCGATAATTTCATTGTCTTGTCGGTGTGTATCACACCTGGGTTCATTGAGTAGATGTGACCTAAGCTCAGTGCGATAAATATAGGCTTTGTCACACAGACACTATATCTCCGGGCGTGACATTTTGATCGCACGCGCTTTCTCTATTATGCAAGTGGTGATTGACACGTAGTGCGCTCGCGCAACGTTGCCCTATCGACCAATTGTATGAAGCTTTTCCGTATTAAATGATCGCGAGATTGAGACGTCACGATTGATGCTTGTGTCACATTCTCACGTTAAGCTGTTACGTCATTTTATAACAGGCCACGTTACCGAAATGTGCAATTATTTAATAATGTATCTCAGACGTGTACAAAATCGTGTGTTTGCAATTAAAAATAAATGTTCGACCTGACTGAGACTTACTAAATAAAATATTACATGTAATTTCAGATTAAAGTACCCATTAGCAATATTCTTAACGATGTTCATTAATTTGTTAATCTCATTATTAGCACATGGATATTGATATGGTGAGCTGAATAAACTGTATCGATTTG